ACATCTCCAAAACTTACTGCTCCTAACTGGGACTTTTACCCTTTAACTAACATCTCTGCGTTGCCTCTCCTCCCCTGCCCCAACCCCTGGTAATCACCTTTCTATTCTTTACTATGAGTGTGACTTTTAGCATATAGGTGAGATCACATATTTTTCTGTGTCTGGTTTATTTCACTTAGTATAATGTTCTCCCAGTTCATCCATGTCACAAATGACAGGATTTTCTTCTTTTTTTAAAGGCTAAATAGTATCTCGTCATGTATACATACCACATGTCTTGTCCTTCCATCCAACCTCCAATTAACAGGTTGATTACATTATCCTGGCTAATGTGCATGTGGTGAATATGTCAGAACAAATTTATCTCTTTATTCTGATTTCATTCCTTTGGATCTATATCCAGAAGTAGAACTGCTGGATCACATTACTTTTAAATTTCCTAGAAACCTCCTCCGTACAGTTTTCCATTATGACTATATTTACATTCCCAGTACAAAGGTTCCCTTTTTTCCACATTTTTGCTAATGTTTTTGTCTTTTCAATAAGAGCCATTCTAAGAATATGAGGTAATATTACACTTTGGTTTTAATTTGCATTTCCCTGATTAGTGAGGTTGAACATCTTTTCATATACCTGTTGGCCATTTGTATATTGTCTTTTGAAAAATGTTTACTTAGATCTTTTGTATATTTATTTGTTTTTTGAGATGGGGTCTTGCTATGAAGTGTAGGCTAGCCTCAAACTCACAATCCTCCTGCTTCAGCCTCTTGAGTTGGGATTATAGATATGTGCAACCATGCCCAGCTTTAGATTTTATTTTTAATTAGCATACATTAGTAATTTGAAGGAATTTCATTGTGATAATTCCTTATTTGCACGTAGTATACTTTGAACAAGTACACCCCCTCCGTTACATTTACATTCCCCTCCTTGCATATATTATAATTGGGTTATTTTCTTGCTGTTGGTTTGCTTGAGCAGACCATTTTTATAATTTTTTTTTTGAGACAGGGTCTTGCTGTGTTGCCCACGCTGACCTTGAAACTATGGACTCAAGTGATCTTCCAGCCTCAGCATTCCAAGTAACTGGGGCTGCAGGCAAGTACTACCATGCTTGTCTCTATAATCTTACATTGATAAGACATTTTTCCACTTGATGGGAAATCCAGAATAAAAATAAACCAATTTAAGCCAGGCCTGGTGTTCCTGTCTATAATCCCAGGTACTCAGGAGGCTTGCAAATTTGAGGCCAGCCTGAGTGAGACACTCAAAATTAAAAAAATAAGAGGCTGTCAACATAGCTTGCCCAGCATGCTCAAGGCACTGGGTTCAATCCTCAATACCACAAGTGAAAAAAATCTCATTATTAAAAGATCATATACACACATACAGTTTAAGCTGAACACAGTGGCTTGTGCCTGTAGTCACAACTACTAGGAGACTGAGGTAGAAGGATCAATTGAGCTCATGTGTTTTGTGAGTTTGAGACCAGACTGGGCAACATCAACTCTACTCTGTATGTATGTGTTTGCACATACACAGACTCCATAAATGAGAAGATTAAGTACTTTTCAGGATCATTAGTACAGGTGAGCTACTGGCACCCTGCTATAAGTGCTCTTTAACTGTTGGTTTACTGCTGGCACCAGTGAAGTAATGTATCAGTAAGACATTAACATCCAGGGTTCTCCTTGAAGATGCATAGAGGCTTTTCTACTGTTAAGGAATCCCTGTTCACCATCTGAATGTGGAGACAAAAATAAGTATTAAAGGAAAACATACAACTTGAAATCTCCCTACTACTACAAACTAGAAATGACATTATTAACAACAACCTCTTGGTTGGCTCACACCTGTAATCCTAGCTGTTTAGGCAGAGATTAGGAGGATCGGGGTTCAAGTCCAGCCTGGGGAAACACTTTCCAAGACCCTATTTTAAAAACACTCAATGTAAAAAAAGGCTTGAGGAGCAACTGAAGTGGTAGAGCACTTCTGCGTAGCAAGTGTGAATTCAAGCTCCAGTATTGCCCCCCCCAAATTTTTTTTTTTTTGGAATAGTAGTCTATGTCCCCTTTTCATTTGAGGCACTTCAGTCAAAGTTGTGGAGCCTGAAGTTTAAACATTTTGTTGTTTGGGGCATTCTTTTTTATAAGAAGTTTCTTTAGGTTCAGTTTCTCAAATGATGAGATTCCTTATGCTTATTATTTTTGGCAGTACTAGGGTTTGAACTCAGGGACTCTTGCTTTCTAGGCAGGTGCTTTACCACTTGAGCTATGCCTCCAGTTTGAGATTCCTTATCTTCTGTTTGCCCATTTTTTTCATGTAGAAATATGGTTGTACTTAGATAACTATTAAGATCTGGGGATGTTGTCTGGCACCAGAGGCTCATGCCTGTAATCCTAGATACTCGGGAGGTGGAAGCCAGGAGGATTGTGGTTCAAAGCCAACCCCAGGCAAAACAGTTCTTGAGACCCTATCTCCAAAATACCCAACACAAGATAGGGCTGGCCAAGTGGCTGAAATCGTAGAGTGCCTGTCTAGCAAACGAGCGGCCCTCAGTTTAAACCCCAGTACCATCACCAAAAAAAAAAAAAAAAAAAAAAGGTCTGGGGAGGATATAACTCATTGGTAGAGTGCTTGCCCCGCATCAGCAAGACCCTGAGTTCAGTCAGCAGCATTATAAAAATTGTTTTAAAAAAAAATAGGAGACAGCAAACAGTATAGCCAAATATAAATGATCAGTTCGTAGTTTAGAAGTCCCAAATCTTAGCCAGGCAGGATGATGTACATCTATAATCCTAGCATTTAGGAAGCAGAAGTATCACCAGTTTGAAACCAGCCTAGGCTACATAAGAGCCTGTCTCAAAAAGCCAAGGGCTGAAGATGTAAGAATACTTGCCCAGCATGTGCAAGGCCCTTTGTTTGATCTCTAGCATACCCTCTCTCTCTTCCCCCAGCAAAAAAGACAAATTTTACCTCCTATACTGACAAAGTTGAGATACTTCCTGTCTTCCTTGGCTAAAGCCTAGACCAAAACCAGGCATAGTGGAACCCACTCTAGTGGGAGATTACCAGGAGGAAAACAAAATCTTTCAGTTTTGTCTGTTCCTCTGTCATACAAACCAAACACTCCATTCCTAAGATACACTATTTTTAGGTTTCCTGACTATTTTGGACTGATGCATAGCAGAGGCAGCTCTTAAAAGATGCAAAGGGAAGCTGGGTGAGATATCCAGCTGACATTTGTCTTCATTTTTCCCATCTTAACCCATATTTAATTGTCAGCCTGACAGCTGCTGTTCTCCCTTTTCAGCATCAATGAACAGTCCAAATCATGCCTCTGCTTTTGTGAGCCCCCAAGCTTTGTCTCACCTTTTATTTACTTAGAAATAATGTTTTGATTCTTTTTCCCAGGGCATTTTTAGGACTCTCCTAAATGCATATACACACTTCTTAAATTGACTTGAAGACTATACTGTAGTCTGGCCAAAAAACCAGCCTAAATTTTATTTCCTGTGCTGGGGATATAGTTCGGTGATAGAATGCATCAGGCCCTGGGTTCAATTTCTGATACCACCAAAACTTAAATTCTGTTTTCTCTCTTAAAATCTGCCTCATTATAGGCGGGCATGGTCACAGTACATGCCTGTAATCCTGGCTGTTGGGGAGGCTGAAGTGGGAGGATCTTGAGGCCAGCTTGGGCAACACAGGATACCCTGTTTCAAAAAAGGAAAAAAAAAAGCTCCACTAACTTTTCCAGTTAAGCTTACTGTCACAGGGTTATTCAGTATTATGAAGACTAACAACAGCCAAATCATGTATTGTCCCTTTACCAAAATAGTACAGTAACAGTGGTCTTAACCACTTCCAAACTGATTTTAAAGAAATAACTCCCTGGATTGGGCTGGGGATATATCCTAGTGGTAGGGTACTTCCTAACATATGCTTGGCCCTTGGTTTGATCCCTGGCATTGTTTAAAAACAAAACAAAATAACAAAAAAAAGAGAATCGAGAAATGACTAACTCCTTTAGTTACTGAAAAAATACATATATTTAACTGGGTGATTAAACCCTTTGGATGTCCCTTTCTTTTTTTTTTTTTTTTTTGAGATGAGGCCTTGCTATGTTCCCTAGGCTGGCCCCAAATTCCTGGGCTCATGCCATCCATGGCCTCAACTTCTCGAGTAGTTTGGATTATAAGTGTGTATACCAGTGTATATGTGTATGTGTTGCTGAGAGTCTAAACCAGGGCTTTGCACATGGTCAGCAAATGCTCTTAGGGTGACAGGATTTTTTCCCAAGGTCAAGCTATAGAAAGATGTCAGTCTTTAGTTTTAGCTAGCCCCTCTGACAATGCATCAGTAGTTTTTAAGTATCCCATATGAGCTGGATATTGTGGCTTATGATTCCAGCTACTAGCAACTCCAAGGTGGGGAGGTAGGGATTGTGAGGCCAGATTGAGCAATAGTGGAAACCCTATCTCCAAAATCCAAAAGAAGCCAGGTACCAGTGGCTCATGCCTGAATCCTAGGTACTTGGGAGGCAGAGGTCAGAAGGATCTCAGTTTGAGACCTTATCTCAAAAATAACCAATGCAGTAAAAGTGCTGGGAGGAGTGGCTCAAGTGGTACACCTACCTAGCAAACATGAGGCCCTGACTTCAAATCCCAGTAAAAAATAATCCAAAAGAGAAAAAGAAAAATCTAAGGTGAAAAAGTGATCCTGCATTACAATGTTGAGAGTCTAAGCCATCTTATTTTTATTTTTATTAGCAGTGTGGGGAATCAAATCCAGGGCTTTGCACACACATGCTAGGCAGGTGCTATACTATTGACCTATATCGCCATCTCTTTTTTTTCTTTCACAAAAGTCATAACTTTTATAAGACTTCTTTTTACAGGGTATAATACTAAGTGTATATTAAGTGTTATATATAGGTTAAGAACAAATTTGCTGAAAATGTTTTTTATTCCATCTTAATTTTTCTTCCTTTATGTAAGGATTCCTAGATGAGGTTATGAAAAAGTATGGCAGTTTGGTCCCACTCAGTGAAAAAGATGTCCTTGGAAGATTAAAAGATGTCTTTAATGAAGACTTTTCTAATAGGTATGTCAATGATGCTAAACCCCTTGAAAATAAATTAATGGCATATATGACTTTACTCTTGACTTAGAAAAAAAAAAGAAATCCTGTGTTTTAACCTTTTCTTTCTAAATCTTTGTTTCAGAAAAACATTTATCAATAAGGAAATAACAAACTATCGAGCCAGACATCAAAAATGCAACTTCCGAATCTTCTACAATAAGCACATGCTGGATATGGATGATCTGACAACCCTGGATGGTCAGAACTGGCTGAATGATCAGGTTAGTTCATCATACGTTCTCAGAGTGGTTGCACAGGATGTTGGTCAATGAAATAACCTTGTAGACACAGTTGGTTTTATTTATTTATTTGTTTTTTGGTTAGTGTTACTTGGGGGGTAAACTCAAGAACCTACTGCTTACTAGTGTTCTTCCACTCAGGCCACACCCCCAGCCTGGAAACAACAATTCTTTATTCTTAAGTGACTGGTTCACTAACCCCAAGATGCAAAAGGTTTTATTACTGCTACTACTATCAGTTTGTTACTCATTCTGCTAGGAGATGTCTGGATTGTACAAGGTCAGTAAGCTAAGCTAGTTTTACTCTTTTGCAGGTCATTAATATGTATGGTGAACTAATAATGGATGCAGTCCCAGACAAAGTAAGTGAAAACTTCCTCTTGAAGAGTGTCCTTGTGTTATTAGTAGGAGGAACTTTTTGTTTTTAAACTTTATATAATACATAAAACTTTACGTATTTGATTTTTCTTAGATTGTACAAAATGGGTTAGATTATGTCTTCATCATACTAGAGTTGAGTATAATTTCTGTCAGAGTGTCTCTGCATAAGAAGATCACATGGCCAGTGTTTTCTATTTTGTGGGAGGGTGGGTATCTTGAGGGGGCTTTTCTTTTTATTCTTGAGAGACATACAGCAAATATTATTTAAACTTTTAAATTAAATGTAAAGTCTTACTTGCTTTAAAAATGTAAAATAGTACTCTTCACTTTTTTGAGTATCAAACCTTTGGTACTCAAGCAGGGAGTGGTAGTGCAGGAGGATCATGGTTTTGAGACCAGTCTGTGCTATATAGTGAGACTGCTTTCTCTCTCTCTCTCTGGTTTTGTTTTTTTTTTTTTTTTTTTCTTTGCTGGGGTTTGAACTCAGCTCAGGGCAGGCTGCTAGGCAGGTGCTCTACCACTTGAGCCATTCTGCCAGCCCAAGACTCTTTCAAAAAAAAAAAAAAAAAAGCAACCCTTGTACATTTCAAACACAAACTCAAACCCTGTTAACTCCAAACTCTTAAGACTTTAGTTTATATATTAAAACTTTGTGAACTTAATATCTTAATTTTTCCTTCTGAGTATTCACATAGCTCATGGAGTAGATGTGGCAATGCACACCTATGATCTCAGTACTGGGGAGGCTAAGGCAGAAGGATCAAGAACTCAAGGCTAGCCTGGGCTACATAGTAAGATCCTATCTCAGACAAACAAACAAAAAAACCCCAAACAAAAACCTGGGGGGTTTCTAAGTACTTTATAGAACTTTAGCAAATATTATAATTTAAACAGATAAATACAGTCTCAGATTCAAATACTATTTATGAATATAGAAAAATGTTTAACTTTTCAGTTAAAACCACAAATCTGTTATGCATTATAAACTATAATTGTGAGACAAATCTGTAAGTTTCTATTTTGTTGATGTTCTTAATTATCAGAAACTTTAAACTTGAAATTTAATTTATCTTCATTATTTGTACATTAATTCTGAGTCTTCATGGAGTTAAAAGGATACCTTACTAAGGCAGTGGTTCTCTAAGAGTATTTGCCAGACCCAAAGTACCACCTGAGAACTTACTGGAAACCCACATCCTCAGACCTCAGCTCACAGCCTGTTGTAACAAGCCCTGAAGTAGGTTCTGATGCACACCAGGCTTCAGAGTCGCTGCTCTAGAGACAATTAGTACTTCTCTTTTTATCCATGTTAAGCTGTAATGTTCTCAAAAGAATGTGTCTCAGTCACCTGGAAGGTTTATAAATCCAGATTGCTGGGGCCTGCTCTCCAAGTTTCTGCCTTAACAGGTCTGGGGTAGGACCTGAGAGTTAGATTTCATTTCCAAGTAATGCTCATTCTTTGCCCTGACAGCCACACGCACTTATGGGACAGTTTTATCATATTAAGTAAGTCAAAATTAGAGTGAACACCAACTCTATGGTACTGGAGGTGTAGCTTGCTTAGCAGGCATGTGGCCCTGGGTTCCATCTAAAGCATCACATGCACAAAACAAAATAAAATGAAACATGTACTGACTCATATGAACTAATACCATTTGTAAGCTAGAAATCCAAAACCAAAGATATAGGACCTGATTCTTCACATAGCCAGGGTAAATCTTTTTTCATTTCTTTTGAAGATAGGATCTTGTGAACTATTTTCCTGGGCTGGCCTTAAACTGAGATCCTCCCTATCTCAGCCTCCCAAGTTGCTAGGATTATAGACTTGAGTCTTTAGCACTTGGTTTTTCATAGTTACTATACACAGTCTCCAAATCCACATACTTCAGATGGGGTTAGTTTTGTAATCCTTCTCTCTTGAGTTCAAGGTAATCATCACCTGTTTTGGAGACATTTGTCAGGTTGCCTCTCTACTTGATTGGATTCAGGTAATCTTATTGTCCTACTCCAGTTCTGACTATAGGCCACAGCTGTATGATCCTTCTAATGGAAATTTGGAACAGAATCTTCTATATACCATATAATGTACTTTCTGTATTTTGATTTTTTTTAGGGGGTGGGAGGGATGGACCTGGGGTTTGACTCAGGGCTTCATACTTGTAAAGCAGGTGCTCACTGCTTGAACCACACCTCCAGTCTATTTTGTTCTGGTTATTTTGGAAATGGGTTCTCACTAACTATTTGCCCAGACTGGCCTTGAACTGTGATCCTCCTGATCTCAGCTTCCCAAAGAGCTAGGATTTCAACTGTGCACCCCCGGTGCCTGGCTTTTTGGCAACAGAGGGTAATTTAGATTCAGGGCCTCCCGTTTGTTAGGCAGGTGCTCTACCACTTGAGCCACTCTACCAGCCCTACTTTGGTTATTTTTGTTTGTTTTTATTGGTGGGACTGGGTTTGAATTCAGGGCTACCCACTTGTAAAGCACATGCTCTACCACTTGAGTCACTCTTCAGCCATTTTGATCTGGCTGTTTTGGAGATGAGGGTTTCTTGCCTGCGTTGGCCTCAAACTGCCTTGATCATTATTTTTATGAAGAAACTTTTCTTCACCTTTTTGTCTGTTTTATATTCAAGCATTTTAAAATTTCTGCTTTCTTTTGAAATTAAATCTGGGTACAACCTAATATAACGTGGTTGCTTATATTTGCTGTCTGTTGTAGGTTCACTTCTTCAACAGCTTTTTTCATAGACAGCTGGTAACCAAAGGATATAATGGAGTTAAGAGATGGACTAAAAAGGTATTCTGTTTCTTTTTATTCTAAATTTGAAATGGATAAACCACTTTGGGTTAAAAGATAAGAACTTTAATTGCCAATATGTTAATTGGGCCTTTTAATGTGACAGTTTAATTTTTTTAAATCACATTGTTGAAAAGACAAGACACTAGTAAAACTCTTGAATCTGTGTAGTGAGTTGGAATATGCTATAACTTCCAGCACTAGGCTGGGAGTTAATGCCTGCAGCATTGCTATTAGCTTTCTGTGTAACACAGACAAGACACTTAACTTGTCTGAATCTTAGATTGCTCAGCTGTGAAACAAAATGCTAAATAAATCAGGGTAATAGCTGAACTAAAGTTATCTTCGGTGACTATGCCAGAAACATTTTGATTAAAATTTTTCTTCTTTTCCTTTTTTTTTTGGCTGTACTGGGGTGATGGGTTTTTTTCAAGATAGGGTCTCTTGAACTATTTGCCTGGGATGGCTTTGAACTGCTATCCTCATGATCTCTGCACCTGAATAGCTAGGATTACAAGCTTGAGTCACTGGTGCCGAGTATCCTTTTTTTTTTTTTTTGAGACAGAATCCCACTATATAGCCCAGGCTGGCCTAGAACTCACAAGCCTCCTGCCTCAGCCTCTGGAGTGCTGGCATTATTACAGATATGTGCCACTTTGGCCAGAAACATTGTAAATCCCACTTATGTTCCTTTCTGATATTATGACAAAATTATCAACAAGTTCACATTCAAGTTCTAAATCTAGAGATACTATAGCTTTACACTTTTTATACTAGATGGGTTAGAGAAACTTAAGAGTGTCTTAAACAGTCATAGATAATGAATCATTTTGTGTAAAGTACAAACATCTGATTGAAGCATACAAATCTAGGGAAATAGATAAAAAAGTGGAATCGGTCCTAGCTTCACATCCTAGTTTGGTTGCTTAACCGTTTAGCTATAGACCTTGGGGAAATTACTTCATTCCTTTAAACTTCAATTTTCTTACCTATAAAATAGGAATATCCATGGTATTTACTTTGTTACAGGGATTAAGTGAGATTGTGCAAGCAAACTACCAAGTACATGGCAAACACACAGTAGATGGTAATCATTATTGTGATTTATAATATTACTTGCCAAATGTGAATTTCAGTTCTTTGATTTTGTAATCCAACCACTAGGAATTTATTCTGAGTAAATCTCAAAAAGGAAAGTTCTGCATGTAAAAAAAGTTCCTCAGGTCAGGCACGATGGGCAGACCCAGTCTCAGAAATAACCAACACAAAAATAGCTGGTGGTATGCCTCAAGTGGTAGAGCACCTGCCTAGAAAATGAGTTCAACCCTCAGTACCTAAAAAAAAAAAAAAACAACAGTTCCTCAGATTGCTAATTACAGTAGCAAATTAAAATGTCAGGTAAATTGGTATATCAGTTCCATGGAATGTAAATCCTCAGTAAAACTTAATGGTTTTCAGTCATTACTTCTTATTGTAAATGTATTCCAAACTGATGCAATAGTAACAAAATCAGGAATCAAAGATGTCATCTATTTCTTAATCTTTCTTTAGAGAAGGCAATAGATAATGTGTCTCTGGAACTGGTAAATTGAAAAAGATTAGATCATATATCCTATTCTTATTCCTCAGTCACATGGTGTAGCCATATTGGCTTCCTTGCAATACTTTTTTTTTTTTTTTTTTTTTTTTGTGGCACTGGGGTTTGAACTCATGGCCTCACACTTGCTAGGCAGGTGCTCTACTATTTGAACCACTCTGCCAGCTTCTCAATAGTCACTTTTGTTTCAAGGCCTTTGCATTTCCCAACACCACCAAAACAACAATAAAAAGTTGAGAAGAAAAAACAACATTGGACTACAAAGTAATTGAAGCAGGAAAGGGAAGATGGACTACCTCTTTTAGATAGGATAGTAAATAACTCTTTAAAGAGGTCATGTTTCACTGAAACTCTGTAGTAAGAAGGACCAACTATGTGAAGGTCAGAAGCATATTCCAGATAAATAAACAGTGAATATAAGGCAAGGAGAAGTGAGCTTGCCCTGCTAGGTACAGGAATAATATCAGAGAGTGAGTAGGAAAAAACAAATTCAGTTTCTCTACTGCATTTTCAATATAGAAAACTTCAGTGATCCCAAAATATGTGGGAATTTCTCCCCACCAGCAAGCAAGCAGTCATTTCAGTGTTGGACAACAGATGAACACCATCCAACTTAAACTAATTCTGACACTGTCTATAAGGAAATACTGTCAGATCCCACAAGATTAAGCACTACTTCCCATGCCTGTTGCAAGCCCCAAGTTATTTTACCCATGTTTTAGCACTGCAGCTATAAATCTTGGGTTCCTACAGCCCCCTCAGGTTCAACTTATTTCCTAGAGCTCCACAGAACTCAAGCAAACACGTTTATGGGTTTATTCCAGAGGCTATTCTGAAAGATTCAAATAATCAACCAGTTGAGGAGATACATAGGAGGAGGTCTGGAAGGGTCCCAAGCACAGGTGCTTCTGTCCCCATAGAATTGGGGTGCACTACCCTTTTGGCCTGTGGTTGTGGTCTTGTTCGCCTTCCTGTGGAAGTCCCCAGGTGTTCAGCTATTTGCAGGCTCTCCAAACCCTTTTTGAGGTCTTTATAGAACTTTCATTATGTAGGCATGATTGATTAGAGACCATTAGCCATTTGGGATCATCTTATTTCCCTTCCCTCCCAGGAAGTAGGAAGGTGGGCCTGAGAGTAACTTCCCTCTGAGCACAGCTCTGTCAATCAGTGTCCCCTCTTCTCCCCTTGGTTATTTAGGGACATTCCAAAAAATTGCTTCACTAGCATAAGCTCCAGTTTGTTTTGGAAGGGATTGTCGTCAATAAAAATAGATTGTCTTTCATCTTTATCACTCTGAAGCTTTTCCAGTTGCTCTGGGAACCAAGGACAAAAAGCCAAATATTTTAGATACTCTAAAGGCTGGGAGAGTTGTCAGTATAATTTCTTGTTTTAGATACTCGGATGTTTTTTGAGCTGGAAAGTGCTGTTGCCTATTTTATCTTCCCTGCCTAAAATGCTTGGTTTGGATCTCACATTTTGTCTGCATTTTATAATATTTGTATATTTATAATGACATATCTTGGGGGTGTATATGAGACTTCATATACATTCAAGGTGTTTATGAAGACACAAAATTTGCTTCATATGTACCTAAACACATATTGTAAAAGTAATTTTATACACTATTATGCATGTTTTTTGTTAAATATTTTGCAAAACTCTTAGTGATGCTGGGCTTTGCGCATATTAGGCAAGTGTTCTACCAGTGAGCTATATCCCCAACCTTTATGCTGGTCTTTTGACTGGGCCCATTGGCATGAATTCATGTGTGGAATTTCCTACCCCTAGCTCTGTATTTTGTTTTGTCCAAATCCCCTCATACTGAAAATGGAGATTTGGATCCAAGGCCCAAACTCCTAGGATTCTACATTTCAGGTCCAGCCACTTAACCCCATATATCGACTAAATAGACATGATGAGCGACAGAAAAAGGAATTTTATTACGCAGCCCCGGATATGCTGTGGGAAGTGGTAAAGTAAGCAGTTCAGCCCATCTTTAGCTACCTGTGGGGTACAGACATGAGCTTTAGCTTTAAATAAACAAAGAATTAAGTCAGGGGACAAAAGGTATGCATAATTAAACAGTGTGTCACAGGTTGTTCTGTGGTCATCACATTGGTCATGTGGGGCCTGGTTGACCATTATCATCAGGTCTTGCTCTTTGAGGGTTTTGGAGTTGTTATTGCTGTCATCACTTGAGGGGAACAATTTGGTTCCTAAGAGATGAGTACTTCTGCTGCCAGATACAGCCTTCGTCATTATAGGTATTTGTCCTCATTTGGGGGGTGGTCTGTCCTACAAGGCTCCTTAGAGTAGTTTCAGTCCCTTGTCATAACGATATTATCGATCATTCCTATCCTTCATTGATTCCAAGGTGGCTGTGGGAGAGAATGGTTCAGAACAAAGGACCACAACTACAAAAAGGAGCCAGAGATAATAAGCTTTTCTCCTGTTTTTAGCTAATTCATGGGCCCAAGTAAGGTGTCAGTGCTTTTAACCAAAAGCAATTTAAGCACCTCTTACAATACCAGGTTTATAAATGGAGAAACTGAAGAGCAGCAGTCAAAGTACTTTGCTCCAAAGTTACTAATAAAAGATTCATTTATAGCAGGAAGACTTGATAAATTAGTTTCTGAGAATCAGATCTCATTTAAAATAGTCTTGTAAATTTTTTAACCAAAGTAATCACTAAAATACTCTCAAGGCTGGTGGAGTGACTCAAACAGTAAGAGCAGAAGTATGAGGCCCCTAGTTCAAACCCCAGTGCCGCCAAAAAAACACAAACAAAAAGCCCAGAAACAAATTTTTTTCTTTTCTTGGTGATATTGGAGTTTGAACTCAGATCCTCACACTTACTAGGCAAGCACTCTACCACTTGAGGCTGCCTCAGCCCTCAAATGCCAGTGTTCCAAATGTGTACCACCACACCTAGCTTTACATTCAGTTTTTTTTGTTTTCTTTTTGTTTTTTTTTACAAACATTATGGTGCACTATTTGTTTTTTTGTTTGTTTGTTTGTTTTTTGGCAGTACTGGAGTTTGAATTCAGGGCCTCATCCTTGCTAGGCAGGTGCTCTACACTACTTAAGCAAGTCTGCCAGCTTGGAGCACCTGCTACTTTACCAACCCATAGGCCAAAAGCCCAACATACCAAATAAGAGACAAGTACTGCTGAAAGAGGTTTATTACACAGCATAGTGTACTGCAGGAAGAGGGAAAGTGAACACTTCATCCCGTCTTTGGGGTGTAGACATGAGCTTTAGGGTTTTTTTGTTATTTGCTTTGTGGTACTGGGGTTTGAACTCAGGGCCCTGCACTTATTAGGCAAGTGGTAGAGCCAGGCCTCCAGTTGAGCTTTAGGTATAAATAAAGGAAGAATTGGAACAGGGGGCAGAGGTATGTAGAGTTAAACAATCTCAGTTACAATGTGGCCTAGTTAATCATTATCTCAGTTCTGGTTCTGCAAAGGGTTCTGGAGAAGTTGTCATTACTGTCATCACTTGAACATAGCAATCTGGTTCCCATGAAATGATTACTCCTGCTCCAGGTTGCAGCCTCATCATTTTAGGTACTTGTCCTCGATTGTGAAGGTGTGTGTGTGTGCGTGGGGTGTCTGTCCTGCAAAATGAAGATGTTATAAATCAGTATTCTCCTTCCTGGATTCCAAGGTGGTTGCAAGGTGACTGCAGGACAGAATGGCTCGGAGCAAAGACAGATGCAAAATGGAGGCAGGGATACCAAGTTTTTTTTCCTGCTTTCGGTTAACTTGTGCACCCAAGTAAGGAGTCGGTGCTTTCTAACAGAAACAGTTTCTAAATATCTGTTATACCCCTGGAATTTTCAGTGGAATCGCAAATATTTCTAGGTTGTAAAGGATATGTACTAGGACATACAAGATGTATGTTCAGATTGTAAATTTGATATAAAGGGTGTGTAAAGTATCAAGGATGCTTCTCTCAATTTTGACATCTGGAGATACATGGGAATAATAGTGATAATAGTTCAAGATTTATAGGTTACTTACAGTGTATCAAAACACTTTTTTTTTTTTGGTGGTACTAGGTTTGAATTTGGGGTCTGTACTTGCTAGGCAGGTGCTCTACCACTTGAACCACACCCCCAGCCTCCAAAGCACATTTTTATGCATTTTTCATATGTTCTCTTGTCATTCCCCACAAATTCATAAGATAGGTACTGCTGTGTTCTACATTTCATACTTCAGGAAATCAGGACACCAGAAGGCTAAGAAAATTGCCAAAGCCATCTGGCTAATAAGTGGAAGGGCCATTATTTGAACTTAAACAGCCTTGCTTCTAGCTCACAGTCTTAACTACTGTACTGTCAGTAGAAACATGAGTTAGAATTTGTGCTGTTTTCTAATACTATATCTTCGTGAACAAGAATAGAGGGCTGGGGAAGCACTTGTGTAGCATGTGTCAGGGTTTGATGCACAGCACTGTTCAAAAAAAAATTTCAGACCAAGTCATATCAGACAGTTGATAAACACAGGTTTAAATGAAAAATAGTGGGCTGGGGATGTAGCTCAGTGGGCAAGTGTTTGTCTAGCATGCAAAGGCCACCGGTTCAATCTCCAGTACCAAAAAAAAAAAAAAAGTGTTTTCTATTAATTTTTCTTGTTGTATATTATACTTTATAGTAAGACCTAGGTTAAATTCTGGTTCACTACTTCCTAGTTTTATGACTTTTAGCATATCTAAGGTCAAATGGAAACTGCTGTTTGTTGTTGGGTCTATGCTAATGACTGCATTTCTTTCTCTTTTCTTTATCAGGTGGATTTGTTTAAAAAGAGTCTTCTGTTGATTCCTATTCACCTGGAAGTCCACTGGTCTCTCATTACTGTGACACTCTCTAATCGAATTATTTCATTTTATGATTCCCAAGGCATTCATTTTAAGTTTTGTGTGGAGGTAAGTTAATATCTTGCCTACTTTCTCATTTATCTTGTGGTTAGCCAACTTGTATTTTAGCTCTAGATAGAACAATGGAAGACTGTACCACACAGGAACAGTTTCTTTTAGGAAAGTCCTAAACTGTTAGCAGAGAAATAGACTGCAGGAAGACTATTAGGGTGGGAAAGGTAGATGTCTAAGACCTGGATCCGCTCTGAGATACATGCCTATTTGGATTGTGTCAGCACTTTTTCTGTTTTTAGAATTTGTTTTTGCTGTACTGGGGATTGAACTCAGGGCCTACACCTTGAGCCACTCCATCAGCCATTTTTGTGATGGGTATTTTCTAGATAGAGTCTTGTGAACTGTTTGCCTAGGCTGGCTTCGAACATCAATCCTCCTTATCTCTTACCGGCGCCTACCTAGCATTGTTTCTTGAATATGGGTAGAAACTTTTCTTTGGTTTCTCTCAGAGCCAAGGATTTGTTTCTGTCTTCAAAATAACTATAGAATAAATCATAGCCTAAGAGAATCACTGGCACATTAGAGTTCAGCTAACACTAATACCAGTGCAACCAGATGGTGGAATACAAAAGCCAGAAAAAATCAGTAGATTTCCTGATTTTCCTGTACAGTCAAAAACCAGTTAGAGCTGGCACTCATGGTTCACACCTGGAATCCTAACTGAGAGGCAGAGATCAGGAGGATTGTGGTTCAAGGCCAGACCCGAGCAAATAGTTCAAGAGACCCCCATCTCCAAAATAACCAGAGCAAATGGACTGCAGGTGTGGCTCAAAAAGTAGAGCACCTGCTTTGCAAGCATGAAGCCCTGAGTTCAAACCCCTGTCCCACTACAAAAAAACAAAAAAGTAGGCATCTACTTTTTAGATTTTACATCTAAAATCCCACCTATGAGAGAGGCAGAGATGAGAGGGTCATGGTTCAAGGCCAGCCAAAGCAAAAAAGTTAGTGAGACTCTATCTCAAAAAAAAAAGGCAAACCTTCTCTTCCCCACCTCCAAAAAAAAAAACAAGCCAGAGGCAGAGTAGGAGGATGACAATCTGAGACTAGCCTGGGCAAAAGCAAGACCCTATCTGAAAAACAAACTAAAAGCAAAAAATTACTAAGAAGTGGCTCAAATGATAGAGTACCTACTAGAAGTCCCTGAGTTCAAACCTCAGTACTGGCAAAAAAGAAAAGAAAAAAAGAATCAGTTAGAAAATGTGACTGAAAGCAAAAGATTCCATTTACAAAAGCAACAGAGCAAAATTTATCCAGGAATATTCCCTAGCAAGAAATGTAATAATTTATACCTTTATTTAGTTATTTAAGAAACTGACAAGGTAGAGAGGCAGGCAGACTCAATATTGAAAAGATCAGTTCTCTCTAAACTAATTTCTACTAATTTTCATCCTAATCAGTTTTCCAACATAATTTTTTTTCATTGCTGGGGATCAAACCCAAGGCTTTGCACATGCTAGGCAAGCACTTTACCACTTAGCTATACCCATAGCCCGTTGTTTGGTTTTTTTTTTTTTTTTTTTTTTTTTGATAGCACTGGGGTTTGAACTCAGGACCTGATGCTTACTAGGCAGGCACTCTTGCTGCTTGTGCCACTCCGCCAGCCCCCCTGTTGGTTTCTGAGACAGAGTCTTGCTGAGTAACCCAGGCTGGCTTCAAACTCAAGATTATCCTTCCTTAACCATTCCCCTTCCTCCATCAGTGTTGGGATTATAGGCATATAACATCACACCCAGCTCTAACAGGATTTTGAATGGAACCTAATAAGCTCCTTCTAGAATTCATATTGTAGAATTCATGTGGATAAATAACTAAAACAGTTTCAAACTAGAATAGAGAAGGCATACTTACTCTACTAGATACCAAACTATGTTATAAAGTTTATATGATAAAATTGGGAAAAGACAAGCTATTAAGTTAAAACACTGGGAATATTAGTTATTAATTAGAAAAGCTAGATGTATATGCTTACTTTATACTATTTATAAGAACAAATTTCAAATGGAATAAAGACCTAAATATAAAACATAAAACTGCAAAAATATTTGAATAAAATGTAGATGTTATGTTCTTGGAGTAGAGAAAGGCTGTTAACACAGAAGCAAAAGAAAAAAAAAAGATACAAGGAACAGCTTGATAAATTTAATCATATCACAATTAAAATTTTCTGCATATCAGGGTGGGTGTGGGGTAGGGTCAGTGGTAGAGCATGCATAAGGCCCTGGGTTGAATCTGTAGCACCACCAAAAAAATAAATAAGTAAAACTCCCATATGTCATAAAGGTAAAAGATAAGTGACAAACTTGGAGAAGATGTTTGTGATATATATAACACAATTATTATTTAGAATATATAAAGAACTCTTAGGAAGGGACTAATAGAAATGGACAAAGGACAACACAAGTAATTTTTAGGAAAAATTCAAATAAGTATTAAACAGGGAAGTGTGCATGGAGGCCATCCTAGACTATATAGCAAGACCCTGTCTCAAAAACAAAATACAAACAGAAACCTAACAAGATGTCTAGCAAAACATAGTTGTCTAGCAAAACAAAGTAACAAACAACAAAAAATATCCCACATAGGTGTCTAGCCTTACCAGAAATAAGAGAAAGACAAATTAAAACTGTATCAGGTGGTTAGTCTTTTACTCCCATTTCCTCCGTGGGAACAGGAAATGTTCCTCTTTTTCTTTCCACTTCTCCTTTATCCTGTTATACTAAAAGTAATCCTTGCTAAACGTTAAAAAACAAAACAAAAAATAACAACTATCAGTGGGACTGGAATTGTAGCTCAGTAGTAAAGCACTTGCCTAATAGGTATGGAGCTCTGGGTTTGATTTCTACCACCAGAAAAAAACAGTCTCCATCAGGGTTCCATTTTTTACCTATTATAGTAGAATATTTTCTGGTGAGGTATAGAATTCATATGGCTACTTGGACAACTGCAGTGCTAATTAGTTCCTAATGAAAAAAGCCACAGACATTAATGTGTCTTTGTAACATAAAAAATGGTTTTATGAATGGGGCATGTACATAGTGAAAAATGGATGTGAGGGCGATCTGGCTGCGACATCTGTCACCCCATTGATCGCCAGGGTTGATTCGGCTGACCTGGCAGGCTAGGTGGGTGTCCCCTTCCTCCCTCACCACTCCATGTGTGTCCCTCCTGAAGCTGCGCGCTCGGTTGAGGAGGACGACCGTCCCTGATAGAGGAGGACCGTTCTTCGGTCAAGGGTACACGAGTAGCTGCGCTCCCCTGTTAGAACCTCCAAACAAGCTCTCAAGGTCTATTTATAATAGTGAAAAGTTAAATAACTTGAATTAGCTTTACCAAGAGAAAAACTAATTATGCCACAGTATATCCATACTATTAACTGACCACAGTAGTTAATAAATATAGTAGATTTCCATAGGCTAAGGTGGAAAGAGCTCTAAGACATAAATTGAGTTTTTATTTATTTATTTATTTCAGTGCCAGGAATTTCACCCAGGGCCTTGTGTGTGCTAGGCAAGTGCTTTATATTCACAACAGCATAATGGAGTGGGATTTTTTTTTTCCTGGTTCTGGGATTTGAACTCAGGGCTTTGAGTTTTCTAGGTAGGTGCTCTACCATTTGCGCATCACCCCAACTCCTATAATTGAGTTCTAAAAGCCAGTTGTAGCAGAATGATACAATAAAATAATTTATTGGTAGAAAATTACACGTGTGTGTGTATATGTATATAGCTATATATATACATATATTTCCAAAAAAAAAAAAAAATGCCTGGATGGCCAGGCTTGGTGGTGCATGTCTATAGACCCAGGAGGCTCACTTGAGCCCCAGAACTTGAGACCAGCTTGGACAACATGTGAGACCCTGTCTCAAAAACAAAAATAAAACAAAAAGATGGGCTGGATGCTTATAATTTTTATTTTTGTGGTTACCTTTTTGTAAGTGTAGAAAGGAGTAGGACTAATAGTAAAAAGGAATTTGCCTTGTTTGAGATATTATGATTTTTTTTGTTTCAAGTAGAGTGTCTTGTATTTCTTATATAATTAAGATTTAACTTAAAAAGTAAGTATAAAGAAATTATAAGGCCAAGTTTTCAAAATCCAAGGTTTTTTGTTCTAAGAAATACAAAAAAAAAAAAAGCAGCAGCAGCAACCCTGAAAATCTTGGACCTAGAGTTCTCTAACTCCAGGTGTGAGTGTGTTTTCCAGTTTAATTCCTTGTTTTTCTTAACCAACACTGCCCTCACTTGTCCAGAGCCTGTCTGTGTTGTCTCTTTCCTGGACAAACTTGGAAAGATATGAAAAAAAGTGTAGCCATATCAGTGTCTTTAATAATCAGATTTTGACAGAGGCAGGAAGGGGGGGTCAGGAAAATTATTTCACCTGGGAACTATTTAACCTTTGCTTTGTGCCAGGCATGGATGCTGGGAAGTCAGGGAAGAGCTAGACAGACATTTGCTTTCATGGAACAAATGATGGGGGTTAAAACAGAATTTTGTTCATAAAGTATAGTTTGTTTATGAGGTGATTCTGAATTGGACTCTTAGTTCTTCTACACAGTCATCTAAGAAGTCTCCCTTTTTTTTTTGAGATGGGATCTCGCTTTGTATCCTAGGCTAGCTTTGAACTCAAAATTCTCTTCTACCTCTGAGTAGCTGGGATTCCAGGCATGTACTCTGCTAAAAATTTTGTCTTCTGAATTTTTGCAGAATTCTTTATTTTTTTAATTTTTATTAGTTGTATTGTACAAAGGGATTTCATTGTGATATCCTGCAGAGTTCTTACCTTTTCAGCAAAATTACAGTTAGCCTCGTAACTTTGTCCATTTGCAAAAAGACCCTAAGACAGACTTCATTTGGGTGATAACAGAGTCGTTTAGAGCCAAGCACAGTCATCCAAGCAAGTGGGGTTAGGCAGTTGTTTTAAGAGGATGTGGGAGCCACAGAAGTGGCTCTAAATGGGAATTGGGAGCTTGTATTTCAAAGAGTTGGTTGGTTTGATAAGAAATGTTTTAAACAATTCCTAAATATGTGTAGGTGGTGTGAGTGCAGGGACTTTGACAGCTTTATTTACTACTATGTCCCCTGCTCAATAAATGTTGATGGTTGATGTAGGTAACTTTTTTTTTTTGGTACTGAAGTTTGAATTCAGGGCCTTATGCTTGCTAGCCAGGCACTCTACTACTTTAGCCACTCTAATAGCCCGTAGGTGACCATTTTTAAGACAAGTCTTTTTTGCCTATATTTTACTTGTAAGTTTACATATAATATTCTGAGAACAAGAAGTCACTTGTTTGGAAAAAGAAGAGCAACATACAGTCATTCTTTGTTAAATATTAAGCATATCTTTTCACTAAATGTTTTTTTCTTCCAAAGAGGCAATTCTACTTCATCCTCTGAGGGGTTTATTTAATTCATGTAACCTTCCATGTCTCACTTGATTTAGAAAAATAAGCATAAAGATTTTTAGCACATAGGGAAAATTTGAAACTACCACAGGCTTCATTGTGGTAGAGATTTCAACAGCGGACTTAACTATTTGGTATGCAGAATGGGTTAGGTAACTTTCTGAAACTGAAAGTTACCTTTCCTGTAGCCTTCAAAAATAAGGATTCTATCTACAGCTGCAATGTTGTTCATTTAATTTTAGTTATTAATGATTTCTACCATGCTTTCCTTCCCTCTTTTGACTATTGGCAGTGATTAAGACCTTCTAATATATAAGTTTCAAATGTAGCAAGTTGACTTACTGATTAAAAAGGCTGTCTTATATTCTAATATAAACAAATACCAGTGTCCAGTTCTGAGTCCGCCTTAACAATATGAAGTGAAAGTTTGGAAATTAAGTTCCAGCTCTAAACTTTAATGCATAGTCTACCCAATTATGTGAGGCCACAGTCTTTTCCTTTGCTTCTATCTGCTGCGGGCAGGTTCCATTTTTCACCAACTGATGGAACACAGCATCTGTGTTGTGGTTTCTTTTTAACCAGAATATAAGAAAGTATTTGCTGACGGAAGCCAGAGAAAAAAATAGACCTGAATTTCTTCAGGGTTGGCAGACTGCTGTTACGAAGGTAAGTATATGATGCGAATGAAACTTTGGCATGTCCAGGGGAGGCAGTGATCCAAGGGGTAGATGCCTGTAAAAGCATTTGAAGACTGGTGACAAAGAGAGCCTCAAGGAAGCTTCAAGGAAGCAGCTCAGAATAACCCTGATAACTACTTCATCTGGCTGCTCAGTTTCCCGTGCTTGTTGGGGGCAGGTAATATAAGTTATTTACAACTTCCCCTGGGACAAGTGGTAATGATGTGGTTGCTCATGGCTGTTATTTCCATATGATCCATATAGACCAAGAGAAATACTAATAAGACTATTTGAGTCTACCCAGGGAGCAAGAGAACTGGGGTACTTTCTAAGCAAATAGGAAGCCCCATCATGTCTGGCCCAAAGACATTAAAGCTCTATGTGGGACAAAGGTCATAGGCATAGCCCCCTCAGTCCTGTCATGAATACCAGGGTCTTAGAATTTATGGTCAGTTTTATTGTTTTTCTGTAAGGATCTCATATGTTCCTTACAAACCTGTGAGGTAGGCAGTCATGTAAGGATAAGCAGCACTTTTATTTTATATATGAAAAACCTAAAACCTGAGTGTGACCTTCACCAAACGACATTGGAACTATTGAGGCAGGTGTTTGAACTCAGGTCTGTCTAGATCATTGAGCCAGTGATAAGACAGAGTCTTGAAACAAACCTTGAACTCATATCCAAAAAGACAAGATTTATTAGTTTATCCTTGAACTGAACCAGGTACTAAATTTTAAAATTAAGCCAAAGTTTTGTGTTTCCAGCAATTCAATACAGTAGACCCTTGGTGTCCACAGCTATATGGTTCTAAGGATACTGCCATTGAGGAAAAACTGGAAATGCTCAAAATGCATAGAATTCAGTACTTGTACTATGGATACTTGATTCATTTTCCCATAATGCAGCCCAGCTTGCACTAAAGACATGCTGCCTTTCAACAAATATAAAATTTTCACTTGATCGCTTAAATTAAGCACATTACATGTCTTTTTTGACTTGGGAGAACTACTGTTACTTTTACCTTGCTTATAAGCTTTTTTTTTTTTTTTTGGCAGTACTGAGGGTTGGATTCAGGGCCTTGTGCTTGCCAGGCAGGCGCTCTACCACTCCTCCAACCCACCATTTGGTTTTTTGGGAGGCAAATTTTCACAAAAGTAAGAGCAGGGAAACAGCAGATCACAAGATTTAAACACAACTAAGAGCTTCTCTGTATCAACTAAGCAGTGTAGTGTATTTTCATTTTTTTTTTTTTGTGGTGGTACCAGGGTTTGAACTCTGGGCCTTACACTTGCTAGGCAGACGCTCTACCACTTGAGCCACTCCACCAGTCCTTTTTTGTGTTTGGTATTTTTAAGATACAGCCTCTTGAACTATTCGCCTGGAGTGGGCTTCAAACTGCCATCTTCCTGATCTCTGCCTCCTGGGTAGCTAGGATTACAGGTGTGAGCCACCAGCACCTGGCATGATTTTCATTTTTTGTCTATTCTTGGTCAAAACCATGTGTAATAAATCTGTAAATAAATACAGCAAATGGGCTTACTGTATATCTGTTCAAACCCAAACTGAACTTGTAAATTTTCTGAATTTCCCCACCTAGAATATCTAGGTGTTGTACATTTAGCCAGGATGTTGCATATTCCCACTTTAGACAGAATATAATAAGCAGTTCTTTTGCAAACCAGCTGTTTACCTTTACATGATTTCTTTCAAATATAGGATAGGGTTATGTAATGTGAGACAAAAAGTGAAGACTGCTAGAATTGTTACAATCTGACTGTTGAGAGTCCAGGCATATGCTGATCCACAGTTCCACTTTGTTTCCAAAGTGAATTGACAAAGTTTTGTCAGTGAATTGACAGCATAACTCATTATCCAAGTGGATGTTTTTAAAATAAGTTTTTTATTTAATTTTCCTATTTCTCATATTTAGGCAAAGTGTTCTTTAAATTGTGGTTGCCACTTTATTGCTTTTTTCATATGGCCAGATGCCTCCATAAAATTAAACATTTACTATATTAGAGGTCTATACCAGCTGTCCTGGACAGGTACAACTTTCCTGACTCTTGCTTGTTTGTCCATAAAATACTTTTTCTTATCTGAAGAGGAGTATTTGATCTTATTTTAATGACCATTTTATTTTCCCCTTCAGTGTATTCCACAACAGAAAAATGACAGTGACTGTGGAGTCTTTGTGCTCCAGGTAAAGAAATAATTGTTTTTTCAGAATTTACATATGTGAATTTTGTTATATTTAGAGAGGAGAGAAGGTAGTCTCTGTATAATAGGCAACAGCTTTTCCTTCCTCTTTCTGTTGTTAAGACACAGTGGTTTCTGCATTTTCAGATAGTATCATTAGGAAGGACCACCTTCCAAGGCCAAGATTGAACAAATAAATGGGTATCATCCATGTCTTCTTGAGGTTATTAATAAGCTTCACCAGAGACTGACTTGAATTTGTCCATATCAAAGACCATTGAGGTCTTTGATAGAGTAGTTAAGATTTTAAATAAGAGCTACATTAAAAAACTGCCACCTCATGCTTTTAGTCCTTTAAGGTCTAAAAGGACTATGAAAAAATTTCAGTTACATTTGTGAAGGAAATTATATAATCCACAAATTTAATGATTTGCAAAGATCTTAGAAAGTAGCTTCATTCCTATACCTCATGAATGTTTGAGGTTTATAAACAAGTTCACATTCCCACTTAATAGCCATGTGAGATCAAGCTGCTTGCTCAGCAGGCCGCACTTTGGGAGGAATTGGAGCCTCTTCATCAGTTGCTTGCTTTTCACAGTATTGGTTCAGGAGGGAGGAGAGATCCCTAGCCATACACTTGCCCAAAAAGCTGACTATAATTTGGAGGTAAATGTTACAAAATGATATATTTTTACAAATTCCCACAAATTTTATAATGTCAAGGGTGCATATGTTTAAATATAGTGGGCTGCCACTTACATGTTTCTGGGATCTTTGCAGTACTGCAAGTGCCTCGCCTTAGACCAGCCTTTCCAGTTCTCTCAAGAAGACATGCCGCGTGTGCGGAAGAGGATTTACAAGGAGCTGTGTGAGTGCCGGCTCCTGGACTGACTCAGAAGGGACTCTGGAAATCTGACCAAGTTGGAGCAGATGGTTTGTTACTTGAATCTCCAAACGCTTATTTGAATTTTTACAGATATTTCTGATTAGTGGTGTTGGGCCACTATTGTTACCTCAAATTTATTTTTTGCCCTTACTCATTTCTCCAGCTACCATGTACTTTTTTAATGTTCAGTTTGGTTTCATTTTTAACTTTATGGATTCCGCGCGTCCCTTCCTCCCATATTTAATATTTATTATCCAAACGCATGCATGTAGACAGAGCATGCAGTGAAGAGTATTAAAAAAAAAAAAAAGCCTAGTAGATTTGGTGCAGCTTTTGAAACTTAGTTAGATGTGGACTGAATACAGGTTTAAAATTTAACCTCAGAACCTAAAAACACAAGATTTTTTTGATACAGAAAATTCAGATAGATGTTCCCTGGAATATAAGGGGTAGCTTGGAGTGGTTTTGACAAAGCCATTCCTGTTTTACTTTTGCCAGCAGCACTTTTCACTGACTTCCCTCTCCAAGTGAGTCTCAGAGCATGAGATGCAGTCCTTTTGAAGGGTGAGATGGAAGTGGCTGTAAGTTGATGGGGCTGTTCTGTATATGAACGCACACTGGGAATCACAATGCCTGTTTTGGGAAGAGCCGATTAAAGTTTGAGAAAAAGGTGGCAACCTTTGGGGCCAGTTATTTTTTTTTTTTTTTTGTTAGAACAACTCAGCAAAATAAAATTCCGGTTTATTGTTGGACATCACTGTTTTACACATACATCAACAGGCCAAAAAAAATAAACAGCAACTTCATAGTGGGGCCAGTTATTTTGAAGGACATTTCAATCTTTGCAGTTCTAATACATGACCTAAATCTCATAAAGACTGTTGCTGCGACATTGAATTCCTTGGACTTTTCTGGTTTTGACCTGTGAAAAAGCTTAGCACCCATCAAACTATAGTGATCAAACAAATGAGAATTCACTCTTTTCTAGAAGTAATTTGCAAGTTGTCACTTCCCTGTGTTGCCTCCCATATGATTCAAGATACAAGATTTACCAAATAAATTTATATTTCCAGACTATCTAAAATATAAACTTCAAAATGGAAAACTGACTTCAGGTCTTTTGTAGGTGAGTGTGGAGAAGAGGGAAGGTAACGAATGACTTCTGTGGGAGTACAGCATATGTATTAGAAGTGTTTCCATCTTCCCCAAATCACAGCAATATGCAAGGCCAGTCCTGACACTCCAGTAGTTTGGTTTTTTTTTCCTCCCCTTCTTTTGAACTTCATTCTCTAGGGATAAGTCGCCCTGTCCTTACACTGTAGCTGCATTAGGATGAAAGTGATGGCTCTTGCATCTTTAATCTGGCCTTTTGTGACATATTTGAAAGGAAATAAGAAAGAAACATTAAATGTACCCAATTATCTTTTCTGAACTGGGGGAGGAAAATGTTTAGAAACTCAGAAGCTTGTACAGAAAAGTACCAAGTAAATGACAAGATACTTGAATTTATGCCTGGTTAAGAGTAGGTTGTTGCAAACGGTAAAATGTTTAACTTGGCCATAAGATATGGCTGAGCAAAGCTGACTGCCCATATTTGAGGGTTCAGTCAGACTGTGTTTACATGCAGGGTTCCCAACACCCAGCCCAGTACTTTCCTGAGTCCTCCAGACTCAAAGTCCTTAGTTAAAACCAGGTCAGTATTGCTTATTGTGCGTCAGGTCGCTAAAAAGACTGGGAGTAGGGGCACTTTATGCTGCTACAGGTAAGGTTGTGTAGCCATTAGGAAAGATGAGAATTTTAAGAGTGGGGAAGGTGTTTTTAAAATTATGCCAGCAATGAGATTCTTTAAAATTTGTATGTGAGACATTTGCCTTTTTTTCCCTTTTGGTGGCTATACCAAAGTAGCCAGTAACTAGGCAATTGACTCAAAATATCTTGAACTTTAAAAAAAAGATTGTACTTCAGAGTGGGGAAGCATCTCAGTTTTCCAGTGACAGATGCATCATGCAGAAAGACGAAAGAGCTATGTTCCTATGAGAATCTTTTGGGTTTTTTTTTGAGATAGCATTTCACCATATAGCCCAGGCTGGCCTCAGACTTGCAATTTTCAGCCTCCTGAGTGCTGGGATTATAGGTATGAACCTCCCTGCCTGGTTTCTGCAAGAATCTTAATGCCCACAGTTTGAGTTGCCATTTTCCCCAATCTTGAGAAATGGTCATCATGTTAGCACCAAGGCGTGCAATGATGAACACAGTGAATTGAGCTGTCCAAGTCTAGTTAACTCTTTCACTTCCAGCATGATAGGGCAACTTGAGGTATGCTGCCCAGCATGGTTTAACCTAAATATTGAGTATTTAAGTCTGTTTTAAACATGTTTCTGTCATTCATGAAACTTGGTTTCAGCACATAGTTACTTTTCCCTCTGATCTTGTGGATAGGTGTAACCCTCTATTTAGCTCAAGTCCTAGAAAGAAAGTCTTTTGTCCTCATGTTTGCAGTAATTGCTTCCTTGCAGCAAAGCCATTTTTGAAATAAACTCTGAGCTCTTGGTGAGAGATAGGCATTGCTTTATTGTCACTAGCTTGGCACTGAACTGTTTGGGTCTGCCACAGAGTAGGCAGACCTTATACCATTGGGGTTGAGTGCAGGCCTTACAAAAACTAAAAGCTATTTATGACCAGCCTTCAGCAAGCTGCCAGTCATCTGTATGGGCAAACTTATCAGGCTATAGTTGCTTCTTTCCAGTGATCTTTTTCGTTAAATCTGTAGCAATGAGTGTAGACTTAATTCATCTTTTAGTTTTCTCAAGAATCATAGAGAACCAACTTTCAGTTAGCTTCTTTAAGTACAGGAGCAGTTATTGCCAATAATCCCACATTTTTGCCTTTGCATTGTATTTTCTACTTATCATTAAATATAAATAACATGGTCATCTTGAATTTATAGTTGAAACAAAACAGTAACAGACCTTAGTAGGACAAAGCCACCACTCACCTAATCTGAGTTGCCCTTTTTCTCTGCAATTGTGTTTCACTGCTTTCCTATGTTAGAAGTACTGGGAATCTGGGTGGGTCAGACCCTTCAGGTGAGAAACAGTGAATTAACAGTGTGAACTAGATATACTGATTATCTGTTCTGCTTCATTATGTTAAGAAACCAAGTTGGTCATCCATTTTAGAGCACATACTTTGTTATGTGCTAGCTCTGCCACCTGGCCTGTAGAGAATTAAGACCTAGGGAATACCATCAGAAAAGTGCTAACTATATTTGGGTGCTACAAAAGCAGACCTTGACAAGTTCACTTAAATGGTACCTGTTGGTCAGAAAAAGAATTTATTAAAAGATTATGATCATGTAAAATTACAATACTCAACCCTTCTAGCAAAATATTTTTTTGAAAAATAAACTAAATGCCTTTATAAACTTGTGTTCTCTTGTGTTAAATAACGTGTACTGTTCGGTAAACAGTTTATTTTCCTAGTAACACAGCTTATTTAAGAAGAGTGACCAGTGTAGGCCCTAAACAGCCTATATTTAGAACTGCGCTAATAGAATTTTCTACCATTCTAGAAATGTTTATCCAATAAAAAAGTACTAGTGGAGAGCTGGGGACATGGCTTACATTCTACAATGTTTGTCTAGCAAGTGCAAGGCCCTGGGGTCAATTCCTAGGACTAAAACCAAACAAACAAAAGCCAGCCAGTTACATGTGGCTACTGAGTATTTAAAATATGGTTAGAATGATTGAGAAAGTGAATGTCTAATTTTATTGCTGTTAAACAGCCGCAGGTGGTGAGTGGCTAAACATACTAGGTAGCAGAGCTCTTTCACTAATAATGTATAGAGACCCAATAATTCTACACACCCTACTCGGCCTAGATATGACCCTTTACCCACATATCATAGTCCCTAATATCAGCATAGTGGTCTGAGTTCTCTTTTTCTCTGACTAAAAAAAGTGAGATACAGGTCAGATGCCATTCCTGAGATAGGAAAGAGGGGTGCAATGAAAAGACTGTCATAGGTAGCATCATCAAGCATAAGAAATATCCCTCAGGTCCTCTTTTTTTTTTTTTTTTTTTAAACCCCTCCACCCTATGGTACTGGGGTTTGAACTCACGGCTTCATTCACTTGCTGGACAAGCACTCTTGCTTGAGCCATACCTCCAGCCTAAGGTTTGCTTAATTCAGCCCCAATTTCCCTTCCCCTCCAATCACCTGGAGCATGTATTCTTCCATCAAGAGTTGCTGGGGAACCTTTCAGTTTTCACAAGAACAACCATGCTCTTTACCTTTACATGAAGCCATAACTACTTGCAAAAATCAAATTGAAATGGACATGGAAATTCTGTAATTGTTTGTAGATTCTCCCCAAAACTTATTTGTAGACAGACAGTACAGTGTAAAGGAGTTTCAGAACATGTCTCTCCTTATAGGTGAGCAAAGAGGCAGAGACAATAATTGGTCCAACTTTATTGAGACCCATTATAGAAGACACAATTCAAATAAGAATGACTGTCTTTGATTTCAAGGCTTATAGAAATCTGTTGTTTTACTACAAAAGAATATAAAAGACATTAGTTTAAGCTACAGTGTAAAAACAAATTTTAAACCAAATATTGTATCCTCATTAAATGTTTACAAATTTCTTCCTAAGCATTACAACTGTTAACAGCTCTTTAAAAATTCAGTTAACCAGTTTGAAATTTGAGAAAACTCACTTACTGTAACATGAAAGATATTCACACTGAGGTACTTCAGTCCAAACCTTTACAAACTAGTGGAAGTTAGAAGATACTTGTTGCTAGATGAAAAAGATTGACATTTTTTTCATATTAGGGAAAATTAGACTCATATAATACTAGAAATCACTTCTTAACATATGCAAAATAAATTCTCTAGACTTCCTTCTCTGTAAAAACCATCAGCTCGCTATTAAGGCTTGAACCTCAGCACAGTTTGGAGGAAAAAGAGAAAACTGGCTGAAAGAAACATTTCCTGTAGGAAGAACCTCTGATAATTTGTGTTAAGCATTCTCTTAATGCTCAAGCTATTTTTGAAAACACAAATGGTAGTTCACTTGTCTAGCATGCTTGTGAGGCCCTGGGTTCAATCCCAATATTGCAAAAAAGTAAAATAAAAACCTATTTTATTCCTAAGATCATACTGAAAATGGAAAGGATCAATCTGATGGACCTAACAGCAATCTTCATGTCAAAAAGCAATGTTTGAACTCTTAATCTCTTGATCTGTTTCATTCCATTTCCCACTGACATTATCCCTTCCCCCTTAGTGTATCTGAGCTTCTCTGAGCTCTGAATTTAAACCCTTGCCTTTTTTTTTTTAAACTTTTGAAAAAATGTGTTAGTAAATACTCTTCAAGTCCTGCATCTGGTTTCCTGGTGTATAAAGCATAGAAGTAGGTAGCATCCACAAGACCGTCTCAGCTTGCTTTATTTAGGAAGGTCCTTGACTTCTACGTTTGCCTTTAGAGATTAGAATTCAGCACAGAAAATATCCAGTTGTCAAACACCTGATCCCAATTATGAGTGATATCAATTACAAGCAAAACTGTAAAACATAGCAAAATTCTTTTTAGTAAAATTTTTTGGTGGTACTGGGGATTGAACTCAGGGCCTCATGCTTGCTAGGCAAGTACTGTTATCACTTGAGCCACTCCCTAGCCCCCATTTAGTAAACTTATCTCATGCTCTTAAATTTAAAATTTATTTTAAATTTTTTTAAATTAAAAAAATCATTCCATGAAGATCATGAACCTATTTAAACTAAAGCACAGTAAAACAAATTTTTGCATTTTTCTAACCTAGTCTACCTAAAACGTGTGGTACTCTTGGCTGACAGCTTAATTAACATCATATATCAAATATGTTGCTAAGGAACACAATTTTTGACCTGGTAACAGAAAATCATTCTGATAACCTGATATATAGCCAAGATTCTAAGACTAGAATTAAATGCATTTTTTGGATTCTCTTTTTTACTGTTTTGGAGGAAAACTATGAAGGGGCTTCTAGCTCAGTAGAGACATTGATCAGACCTTGGGTAATGTTCAACAAACTCAACAGGCTGAAGGAGTGAGTTGTGCCCTGATGGGCTTTCACCATTCACTGGTTTTGTGCCAATTTTCCATAGCCGCCTCTCCCAGCATCATAGTCTTGACGATACTCATCTCGGACCTTTATTGAGAAGAACACAATGCTGTAATATTCTGGTGTAACAAATACACCTCCCACAATCATGTCAGACAAATACCTAAACCTTTTCAGATGTCATCATGTGAACATTCAACTAGCATATGTTTTAGTTCAGTTAACGACTGCTTATAAAGATGTATAGTACATACTATTTTAAGGTTTAAAAAAATTATTACCAGGCATGGTCGTGCATGATTAATTCCAACACTCAGAAGACAGAGAAAGGAGGATCTTGAGTTCAAGATCAACCAGGGCTACAGGCCAGCCTGGGATACAATGGAGAGATTGTGTCTCAAAAAATAAAAATTAAAAAGGTAGTTTCTGACAAGGCTAGAGGCACAAGTTGACAAAACACTTGCATTATAACTGGAATCCCAGGCAAAGGCTCAGCAGAGACCTTTCCAGCATACCTGGCCCCCAGATCGCCCACGTCCATACTGCCTGCCCTCCTTAAAGCCTGCATCCCAGTCTGTGCGAATGATCCGGTCATCGAGACGAGTTCCATTTATGTACCGCATGGCATTTTCTGCATCTGCTCTTGAATAGTATCTTAAGTATAAGCGTTAAGGAAGACTACTAGTATTTCTCCAAATGTTTTTGGAAACACAGGAACCAACATCTAAGTGCAGCTGAGTTAGTTAAGAAAAATTATAAAAGTTAGTCCAACCAAACTGATTTCAAAGACAAATCAGCTTACATAGACCAGTTGGAGTCTGGTCCAGAAGCACTTAGGAGAGGCATATGATACTTATCCATGGCTACATTGCTCATGATTTCCTGGATATTCCATGAAATTAATAATTATTTGATCCCATTGTCCCCATACTTTGATTCACAAAAATAATGTTCAGTGCAGGTTTAGACTACAAACCATACAGTACCTCCATAAAAACAAAACAAAACAAAACTTAAAAGAGCAAGTGTGGCTGGATGTTGTGGTGCATACCTGTAATCCCAGTGCACAGGAGGAGCGTTTGAGGTCAACATGGGCTATAGAGACTATTCAAAAAAAAAAAAAAAAACAGGAGTGGTTATACAGGTTATAACTCAGTAGTAAAGTACACGTCTGGCATGCTGGAGGACAGGCAGGGACTCTACCACTTGAGCCACCCCCCTAGCCCTTGACAACTGTTTTTTGGGGGGTTTGAATTCAAGGCTTTACACTTGTTTGGAAGGCACTCTACTGCTCAAGCCTCACCTCTGCCCTTCTTGCTCATTCTTTGGAGGTAGGTTCTTTCTGGCCTGGGTAGCTGCGCAGGCCAGCTTTGACCTTGATCCTCCTATTTATGCTTCACACAGTAGCTGAGATGATATACCACCACCCAGCTTCTTCTGTTGAGATGGGGTCTTACAGTTTCCAAGTAGCTAGGATTATAGGTGCAAGTCATCGCATCTGGCTGACAATTGCTTTTCTTAAAAGAATCAACCATGAGCAGCTGGGCACGGGGTGGCTCACACCTGTAATTCTAGCTATTTAGGAGGCAGAGATCAGGAGGATCATGGTTAAATAGTTCTTGAGACCCTATCTTGAAAAAAACCCACTACAAAACAGGGCCAGCAGAGTTGCTCAAGCGGTAAGAGTACCTGCCAGCAGGTGTGAGGCCCTGAGTTCAAACTCCATTACACTCCCCTCCCCCCAAAAAAAATTCCAACCATGAGCAAAACTTGAATTTCAGAACAGAATGTAAATAGTACCAGATTTCACAACATAAGAGTATAGACACATAGGAAGAAGAGGTAGAGACAAGTGTAGGGAAGCTAATAAACTAATATCCTCATCATAAAAAAAGGCAACCAATAGTCATAGTTCAACAAGAAAGGATACTCCACAAAACAGAATCCACATGCTGTTTTTTTCACTTTATCCAGACCCATAATGATCTTTTTTATATCACCACTTTTGCTGAAGAGTTCATAAATTTGTTCTTCAGTTGTGTAAAAGGAAAGATTTCCAACATACAATGTACAGCTTTTCTTCAGTAATTTTTCTTGTTCTTCATTGTCACCCTAGAATTTCAAGTAGAGACAAGCATAACTTTAAAAAAAGAGCCTTGCTTAAAATAATATAAAGTAAGTTAAAAATTCATCAGTTCTTCAAACTCCAGTACTGCTAAAAAAATCATCAGTTCTTATTTGGAAATCAATTCTTTCACCATCCCAATCCACAAATTCCTTGCCTAAAAAGGGAGTGCTTACATTCAGTGAGGTACTAACAACACAGTCCAGGCTGCTTTCAGTGAAGGAAGAGGCAAGGTATGCACCCTTCTTTTTCCTACACCAGACTGCCACCCACACAACTAACTTTTTTTTTTTTGTTGCATACTCCATGTCCTCATGATCCTTCTCTAATGGCCCAAGTTTAAATTCTAGACCTTGACCCAATATAAAGGATCCTTTTATCCTCTGTAGTGAAAAAGTAAGCAGATCTTCAGAGATACCATTCCCCTTGTAATACTCCAATAGAGACTGTTCAAAGCAACAACTGCTGAGATGATTTGCATGTTCACATTATTGTTCTCTGAGTGCAGGAGAAAATTTATTGATTACTAAGAGCAAAAAAGGTCTCACAGATTGGGGACATGGCTCAAGTGGTAGGTGCAAGGCCCTGAATTCAATCCCCCAATACCACACACAATCTTTTTTTTTTTTGGTAGTACTGGGGGTTTGAACTTAGGGTCTAGCACTTAGCGGCCACACCCTCAGCCCTGTTTCATAGGGTGTCTCCTGGCCAGCCTGGACTGAAATCCATTTTTTTTCTTTTTTTGTGGTACTGGAGTTTGAACTCAGGGCCTACACCTTGAAGCCATTCCTTTTTTGTGATGGTTTTTTTCGTGATAGGGTCTCATGAACTGTTTGCCCAGGTTGGTTTCAAACCAAGATCCTCCTGATCTTTGCCTCCTGAGCAGCTAGGATTACAGGTGTGAGACACTGGCACACAGCTCTGAAATCCTTTTATTTATACTTCACACGCACCTGAGATAACAGGCACATACCACCATGCCTGGCTTTTATTAACGGAGATAAGTGTTTCTTAAACTTTTTGCTGGCCTTGAATCAATACTCCTGATCTCTCCCTCTCTGCCACCTGAATAGCTAGGATAATAGGCATGAGCCACTGTGCTTAGCAAGTCTCTTTTTTTTTTTTGGTGGTATTGGGGCTTGAACTCAGGGCCTATAACTTGAGCCACTCCTCCAATCCTTTTTTGTGAAGGGATTTTTCGAGATAGGGTCTCATGAACTGTTTGCCCAGGCCTTCCTTCAAACTGCAATCCTCCTGATCCATGCCTCTGAGTAGCTAGATTATAGGTTTGAGCCACCGGCACCTGGCTAAGTCTCACTTTCTTAATGCACTTCTAATTTAAAAGATAGGATGAAGCCAGAGACAGGAGTGCAACTGGTTTTCAGCTAACACACCTGACAATCCCTGAGAACAAGATGGTTCCATCATGTGTTAGACACAGTATTTTTAAATTTCAATTTTAAATTTTATTTATTTATATTTTTGTAGTGTAGAGCCCTCATGCATGCAGGCAAGTGTTCTACCACTGAGCTACATCTCCAGCATGGTATTTTCTTTTTTGTGGTCCTGGGAAGTAAACTCAGGGCCTCAAGTATGCTTAGTGATTGCTCTATAATTGTGCTATACACATAGTATTTAGATTCCTTTGAAGAAGCGAGTGTGGATGTCCCTAGACTTATTCTCATATTGGGAAGGACAAATGTGATTAAACAGGTCTACCAGCTATCTATTCTCAGGCCCTTCTGTTGAGTGCTCTACAACTAACGATAGGGTGGTATTCCAACCTGGAGACTAGCTGAGAAGATCTATGCTAGCCTCTACAAGGTACTTTCCCAAGAGCCCTCCTTTCTTTACTTGGTTCTCCAAATGTGATGCTGATACAGTTTCCTTCACTTTGGGAATATGACATTATTCATCTCTGAATGCTTTGTAGCACAGTGTTTATAGATCTCATGTGATCACATTTAGTGGCAGACTTGAGAACTATATGGAAACATCAAAAGGAAACTGGCCGGCTGGGGATGTAGGTCAGTGGTTGAGTGTTTATCTAGCAAGCACTAGGCTTTGTGGATTTGATCCTCAGTACCGCAAGAAAAAAAAAAAAAAAAAGGCACGAACTGGCTAAATCATGGTATATCTAAAACTATTCAGCCCCTAGGAAAATGTACATCTAAATACAGTGATATGAAACATCTCCCAGGATGGAGTATAAAGTGAAAAAAGCAAAGTACAGTATGAAGGATGTGCTCCTAGTTGTAGTTTTTAAAAGCAAGAAATACAGATATCATACACAAGAAACTGGTAATTATGTTTGCCCCTGGGGAGAATCAAGAGACTACAGGTCAGAGGCTCAGATATATTGTCTGTTTAATTATCAGAACTACATGAGGTAGGTAGGTCCTAATTTATTTTCCCCATTTTCCACATGAGGAAAGACAAGTCACCTAAAGTCACAAAGCAGTCAATAGTTGTAGCTGGAATTAATACCCAGTCTTATCTCCAATGTCTTAAGAAGTCCATAGGACAGCTGGCATGGTGGTATACTATAATCCCAGCTACTCAGGAGGCTGAGGCAGGAGGATCAAGAGTTTGAGGCCAGCCTGAGAAACACAGTTGAGTCCTTGTCTCCAAAAACAAGGATTGGAGGAGTGGTTCAAGTGGTAGAGTGCCTGCCTAGCAAGTGTGAGGTCCTGAGTTCAAGCCCCAGTTCTGCCAAAAAAATAAAAAAGTTAAATAAAACAAAAAGTCCACAGAATAGTCATTCTGTGTTAAAAAACTAATTACTAGAACTTTAGAATGAGACAGAAAGCAAAATCACTTTGATATGTTGCCAAGGCTGGTGTTGAACTTGTGATCCTCTTGCTTCAGCCTCCCAAGTAACTGGGACTATGGAAGCTCACCACCATGCCTGGATAGCAGATTCATTTTGTATTACTAATTCGTAATGGGCAAGGGGGATATTGTTTTCCTACTTTTCTCATACATTAAGTATTGTCTAAACAGCCTATGACTTAGGAAAACTGTGAAGTAAGTACTTAAGGTACAATATTAATGTGGATTGTACTCAGGGTACACTAGAAATTCTACATGACAGTACTGGCACTGTCTAAAGAAAGCTACTGGCTTTAGATGTAGAGATGAATCCTTTCAGTTTTTATCTTGTAGGATGCTTTAAATTCAAGACAGTTATGATGTGGTCTCAAGTAATGAGAACTGTAAAGCAACAGAAGTGAAAACCATGCCTGACACATAGTAAAACTGGGCTGAGTGACTTAACACATTTTACAAATTCTCCATACCTACCCTCTCCTAAATGCACTTTGCCAGTCATAAGTGGATTTCTGTCTTTTTCTGAATCCTCCAAACAGTCTCTCCCGTTCCACTTATCCTTTCTGCTTTAGATCTTGATTACTACCTTTATTTACAATCCCTAATACAGGACTGAATTCTTAGGATGCAGGGCAGAAGGCTTCTCACCCGCACTCACACCTTTACTAAATTGGATTGAGTGCTGCTCTACTCTGTCCCAACCCCTACCTTTACTGATACAGAAAAGCTCAGCTTGAGAATCTGCAGCATTCCCCCTTTCCACAGAATCTTTTTTTTCCCCCCCTCGGTACTGGGGTTTAAGGCTCAGGGCCTCACACTAGGCAGGTGCTCTACCACTTGAGCCACTCCACCAGCTCTTTTTGTGTTGGGTTTTTTTCCATAGGGTCTGGGGAACTATTTGACGGGACTGGCTTTGAACCGTGATCCTTCTGATTTCTTCCTCCTGAGTAGCTAGGATCACATGCGTGAGCCACGGGGGCCATCTCCACAAAATATTCTGTGACACAGCCTAAACTAAAATTTTACTCTTTGGTCTGGGGATGTGCTCTGGTGGAGCGCTTGTCTAGCATGAAGATTTTACACCCAGCCTCTTCTGACATCCAGCAATTTTCTGATCTTGACATTCAGACACCCTTAACATGCCTAGCATGGGTGGTCCACTACGATGCCAGCAGAAAACTCAAATGAGTCTTCTAACCCACTGCGTAGGCTTTCAGGATCCTCCTACAAGATAAAGGAACTCCCGAGCACTTCAGGGCATTGTTTGATTAAAAAAAGAGAAAAGCCCGGTGTCTAGATCAGCCTTCATACACTGTGGATGCGAAAAAGACACTCCTTTCCCTCATTACAGTCACTTTCCTAAGTCACAGCCCATGAAAACTGGAGTCACCACTACCACTACCGCTAGATACAGGCAGCGGCAGCAAAAGAATGGAAAGGCGAGTCCCAAACTTCCTACGAAAGTGGCTTGAGTAATATCCAAACACCCTTCCGGGATCCGTCCCCTGCCTCCCCAGCAGGCACCGGGACCCCACTTTGTGATTCCGGCACCAACAGAACGGCAGACGACACAACGAGACATGTGCAAACCGTTTCTCAGCATTCTGGCCCGGGCCTGCCCCCTCTCGCAGCCCGGCCTTCCTCACCCGGAAGTGCTGGTCGCGGTACTGGCTCAGCTCCACGTAGGAGTCACTGCGGAGCGCCTTCAGGAGGCCACCAGACATAGCGCAGAGAAGTGGACAAGGACGCGCAACACCGGAACAAGCAGGCGGCGGCGGCGAGAGCGGATACGTGTGGCGGCGGCTGTAGAAAGTGGGAGTAGTCGGGCCAATCCGGGACGCGGCAGTGTCGTCATCTCGCAGCGCGGGAGCAGATAGGTCCGTCGTCGGGCGCGGCCGACAGAAGGCGAGAGCAGCGTGCCTCGGGTTCCGGGCGCTCGGGGGAGGATGGTTCTGCGGAGGCTGCTGGCCGCCCTGCTGCACAGCCCGCAGCTCGTGGAGCGTCTGTCCGAGTCGCGGCCTATCCGGCGTGCCGCGCAACTCACCGCTTTCGCACTGCTACAAGCACAGCTGCGTGGCCAGGACGCGGCCCGCCGCTTGCGAGCCCTCGCGGCCGGGCCCCCGGGCTCCTTGGGCCACCGTGTCGCGCGATTCAGAGACGCCTTCACGCAAGAACTACGCCGCGGCCTACGAGACCGCCCGCGGCCGCCACCAGGTACCCAGAAGGGCCCGGGCGCAAACTCTTAAGCTGGGGCTGGGCCGGGCCGGGCCGAGATCTCCTAATGCCCTTCAGTGCTCTACCCCGACCTTGCCATTAAGGAGTCATCCCGGGCGCTGCGCACGGCTTCAAACCATGACCAAAATAGTCGGCCTTCAGACGTCCCGCTCCCAAGAGCTCAGGCCAAACCGGCATCGGTGCTGAAAGCGTGTGGAGAAAGACCCAGAGGCTGACAGATGAAGATAGGCTGGATCTGGACACGGCCCCGACAGCTAGGGATACAGCCAGCACAGCCTGCCCTCTGCAAATGGGACTGAAAGTCTGGAAAGCTGCTGCTGCGTCTGCACTGTGCAGCAGGGCGCCCTCCAGGGAAGGTGGTGGGTGGAAGACGGCCCTGTAGTTGCCAGTCCTGTGATTAAATGTGTAAGCTGATGAATAGACATGAGCGTGGTACTTCTCAGACTAGATAGGTTGGGAATCCTGGGGGCTGCCGGCCCGTGTTAATAACAGTTAACACTGAGTGCCCATTCTGTGTTGGCATTCGCCACTTGCATCCTGTGTGGCCTGCCTCGCTTCTTACAACCGCAGTCATGTGAGGAGGTGGAGACCACTTCTAAGTTGCCCAAAGACTTGAGGAGCCTGGGGTGTGAACGTAGAGTTGACTCCAGGGCCTGAGCCCTTAATCACAGCCTCTGCACCATTTACCCTGCTCCTCAGGGACTGCCTTTTCCATCACCACTAGGCAGTAAGATTACTGCCTACCACGGAACAAGATTACTGGATTCCTATACAAATTAATGGTTTTAGTTGGACCCATGATTAGGAAATCTGTTGTATGAAGAAATGCCCTGTCACTTTGAGGCTCCTAGCTCAATTTCTGGTCCTCTATACTTAGGCTACACAGTCCATGATGAACGCTAGACAGCTTGAAGCCTTAGGAAAAACTTTTAGGCTGGTTACCAGATATTGAACCTCATGTGTTCTCAGTTCCCGCTGAGCCAGGCTGAGAGGGCCTGCAAAACCGTGTGCTGAGAAGAGAGCATATCTGGGCTTCCAAATCAGAGAATGACTGTGTGTGTGTTTGTGTGTGTGTACATGTGCATACATACTGGTGATTGACCCTTCAGGGCCTTGAGCATGTTAAACAAGCACTCTATTACTGAGCTACATCCCCCAGGCTCTGGGGAAATAATTCTTGAGGGCATGGTGCAGAAATGGCTGGAGAGGTTCCCATCACTATTCAGGGAGAGAAGTAGAAAAACGTAGGAGAAAATTTCCAGAATGACTTGTCTTGGTAATAACCAAATACTGAGACAGCAGGAACCAAAATACCATTAACTATAATTCACCTCCCACTTCCATGGTTAAAGAGCTTTGTGAGAGACGTGCCTCTTGAGCCAGGGAACATGGTACCAGGCAGTAGATGGGGCTTTCTCAAGATCATAGTGAGTGACAGGCCAGGGACTAGAACTTGAATCCCCTGAATCTGAGCCACCTGTTCTCTCTATTTCACCACACTGTCTCCCAAGTGTCCAGAAGGCCCACTAGCCTTAGGAAGCCAAAGGACTGTCATGACAGCAAGAGGTAAGATGTAGAAAGTCTGGGAGAGGTAATTCAGGAATGTTATTAGCAGTGCATCATCATTTACAGCCAGGTGCTGTTATATATTTAAAACATTACAGTGGCTGGAAGGGGTAGGGCAGGAACAGACATTTGATGCCAATGGTTGTGCTGGAGCCTGGGGGGGGGGGGACTTTGGCATTAGGACCACGAGTAGTCAGATCTTTGGTGTCTCAGGGAAAGGCGTGTGGGCTCACCCAGAAGGCAGAAAACCAACGGCTGTGCCGAGAAGAGGGAGCAGTAGGGATCCTGAAGGAGGACTAGGGCCCTGTCCCAATGTCCCCAGCCCAGCTGCCTGTGGAGAAGGTGAAATGGCACCTTCTCCTAATGCTGAGTTTTGGACAGGGGTTGCTTTGTCATATTGTCAGACGTCTCCTCCAGTTCCACAATGTGAAGACTGAGGTGATCCCTCCAAGCCCCACTCAACAGGGAGGACAAGGCTGGTGGGTCCTCCAGGGTCAAGTGGGGAAACATAAGTGTCTCGTTCTTGAGCAGGAAGCTGCACTTATCCACCGCACCCCTGGTGGTCCCAGGGGTCACCACAAAAAGGCGACAGAGCCATGGCCCACCAGCTGCTTGGCAGGCTGGTTGTCTGGTGAAGTTGTTCAGGGCTTGGCACAGGGCCCAGTCCTCAGACCCACCCATGTCCACCACCTCCACAGGTGACCCCATGCCTGGGAGGTGTAGGAGGTGCTGAGGAGGCATGTAGGTGTGAGTGAAGAGGAGTGTGTAGTGGGTAGGCATGCTTGGGAGCTCAGGTGCATGCACTACCTGCTCCAGGTACTTTAGGCCAGGTACCAGGCCCCCCTGATGCAGACAACCGAAGAAGAGGGCACCTAGGGCATTGAAGAGGACCAGGGTGCCTTTCCAGGGCACAGGTTGAGTTCGTGGACTACAAAGCAGGACTAGGGGGACTATGAGAGGAATCAGGAACCGAGCCTCCTGGTGGCTAAAGGCAGACAGCAGGGCTAGGGGCATGAAGTAGAGGAGAAGGAGGTAAGACCTGGGGCCAGACAGCAGGCCCCAGGCACCTGGTACCCTGAGGCCCATTTGTGCAAAGACCCGGAGGCAGACTTGCAGCTCTTGCCATGCAGCCCGCAGCGCCTGAGCATGCAGCACACCAAAAAGCAGAAAACCATTGACTGTCAGGTGGGTAAGCCGCATGTGTGTGCCATGCCTTGCAAGGTTTTGGGGATCCAGGTTGTAGTGTAGGAAGTTGATGGGTGTAAGGAAAAGGCGACTGGATCTGGAGAGGCTGGAAAAGTACCAGCTGTCCATGGCTACAAATAACACTGAAGTGAGGACCGCCCCAGGGAGCAGCACCAGGGCCTCCAAGGTCAGGGCCTTCAAGCCAGGGTTCATGGCTCCATGAATGGCCCAGAGGAAGAGGGGAACCAGAGCAAAGGCCAAAAAAGTGGGCCGGTTGAAGAAGCCAGCAGCCACGATGGCCCCAAGAAGCCAGCTGTGCCACCGTGGACTTGAGGTGAGCTTGTTGGGTGTGGGGCCCCATGCCACATGGGGGGACACCAGTACCAGCAGCCACGTGAAGAGCAGTCCCTCGATGGCGTTGGAGAAGGTCCTTGTGTAGAACACGAGAGTGACGTAGGAACCAGAAAGCAGGGCTAGTGCGTTCCAGCGATTGGCTCCCCACAGTGGGGCCAGATGGTACACAGCCCCATCCAGGGCAAAGGAGAGGGCAGTGAGGAGGAGTCGGGGCCCCACCAGCAGCATGTAGCCACTCACTTGGTCAGACCACGGCCCCAGCTCTTCCCAGACCCTGAGCAACCAGAAGGCAGAGCCTGAGGTCAGCAGTGGGAAGACCACCGTACGGCAGGAGCTGCTGGGGTAAAACTCCCAGGGCCGTGTGGCCTGCACGCCCAGGATGTCCTCTGCAGAGAGAGAGGCACAGGTGAGCCAGTTCCAAGGTCTGGGATGTGCTGGGATGTGCTAGGATGGCACCCAAGATTGCCCGCCCCCTAGGGACCTCTCCCTGGACAACCCTGGGACTGTGAACAGGTGGACTTGGCTCTGGTAATGAGAGCATTGACTTAAAACGGGGTGATTATCAGGTGGGCCTGACCTGTCATTCCAGTCCTTTAACAGCAGAGTTGTCTCCAGCTGGATGCAGAAGAGGCAAAGACTCAAAGCCCTACTGGCTAAAGATGACCATGGCTGTCAGTTGGCAATGTGGGTGTGTAGCCTCCTGACTGCGGATAGCCAGGGAATAGCAACCCCAGCCCCATAGTTGAAGGGGATTTAATTCTGCCAAAAACAGGAATGAGCTTGGAAGCAGGTTACCCCCAGAGCTTTGGAACAAGAACTCACACCTACTCATGCTTGAGTTCAACCTTGTGATACCTTAAGCAGAGAACCCATGCCAGACTCATGATCTACAGAACTGTGCACTAACTAATGGGTGCTGTTTTAAACTGCTTGGTTTGTCATGCAGAGGGGACAGGAGGAATGGTGCCTTGGGAGATGAAGTGACAGTGTAGCTGGGAAGGGTGTGGGGGTAGCAGGGGAAGGGTTTAATTCCTCTTCTAAGAGTTCTGGGATCTCAGAGTCAGAACCCTTCTCTGTGAAAATGATTGCTATCCAGGAGAGGGGTTGAGAGTGGGGAAGGGAACAAGAAGTCAGGGTAATGTCCAAACATGACATTAGTTTTGTGTATGATTCTTAAATATTTATATAGAACGTATTCAAGCTCTGTGTGGTGATATATGCCTGTAATCCCAGCTCTTGGGATGCTGAGGCAGGAGGATCATGAGTTCTAGGCCAACCTGTGCTACAGAATAAGATCCTGTCTCAAAAAGTTAAAAAAAAAAAACTTAAAATTTAAAAAGAAGAATCCATTCAAGCAGTATTTATATATTTTTAAAAGTACTTGCTCCCTGGGGCTGTTCTGTGACTCTGTGCCCCAGTGTTCCAGAGCTCAGCTGTTGAGGGAGAAACAACCTGGATTTCTGCATCTCCAGTCCAAGCCCTTCATCCACAGCCTCTCAGGGACAACTTCACTGGCTGTTTAGAGCTGATTCCATGGCCTAGGAATCTTTCAGACTGTTTTGCTTCTGCTACTTATTCCTCCAGGCTTTTAGCCATTTGATCTATATCAGAAAGGGAAGGGGAAACAATCTGGGTATGCTGGCTCAGGTTTAAAAATGTGTAGGAAGGAAGGCTGATCTTTCCACCTTCGAAACTAAATCTACCTATTGAGTCCTGTGGCAAAGTTAGCTGGAGGTCTCCCAAATATCTCCTCCCCTCTTCTTAGACTTTTCAGCTGGGCAGTTGGTCAGAGTTAAAGACTATTTCCAGCAGGGTGCTGGTAGCTCATGCCTGTAATCCTAACTACTTGGGAGGCTGAGATGCAAGACCCTATCTCCAAAATAACCAGAGCAAAATGGACTGGAGGTGTGGTTCAAGCAGTAGAGCGCCTGTTCTGCAAGTCTGAAGCCCTGAGTTCAAACCCCAGTCCCACCAAAAAAAAAAAAACCACAAAACTTTCCCAGCTGCCTTTGCAGCTAGGTATGGTCATGTGATACATTCTGATCAGTGGAATGTAACTGGGCAAAAGCATGTTACTTACAAAATATGACCTGAAAGGGAGTAGGTTCTCCTTCCTTGAACCTACAGGAGAAAAGTTTCCCTGTCTCAGATCACATCCCTATATGGGCTTCCTTGGCCACTGGGAAAGCCCAACTTTCAAATCATTCCACCTACAAGTTCAACACAGCTTTTCTGAACAACCTGTTGGTCCAAGCAAGAAAACATCAAAGATGCTGCTGTTTCATTAGTATCATCCAGAAAGTGTCACCACTCACTCAGAAAGGAGATGTGAAGTCCCCACTTTCAAGTTCTTTGCTGTGGATTTACTGCTTCTCAGCCACACACACTCTCCCTTCTCACTGGGTGTCCTGTGCTGCCTCAGATCCTAACCATGCATAAGGAGCTCTCTCTCTCGCTGTCTCTCTGTCTCTCTCTCTGTCTCTCTCCCTCCCTCCCTCCCTCCTTCCCTCCTCTCTCGCTCCTCTCTCTTTCTCTGTGGGACAGGGGTTTTAACTTAGGGCTTCGCACTTGCAAAGCAGACGCTCTACTGCTTGAGCTCGTCTCCAGTCTGGGAAGCTTTACCTGCCATGACCTCAGGTGACTGGAAGAATTCATCTGGGTGCACATAGCCCGTCTGTGGCAGGAGACACCACAGCACTCGCAGCAGGCTGAGGCCACCCCAAAGCACCCTGGCTGCCATCTTCAGAACACAGGGTCCAGAGCCTGGAAGGCTTTCACAGCTGCAATAGGTACTTCTCTGGATCCACAGAGCTGTGTCTGCTGAGGGCAACATTTGGTAGTTATTACAATGTAAATTATGATACCTTAACTGTCTGAACAAACTCAAAGTGGATCTAAATAGAAATGATGGTAAGCTGGACATGGTGGTACATACATCTCAACATTAAGGGGGCTGAAAAAGAAGAATCACACATTCAAAGCCAGCCTGGGCTACTCAGCAACACTATCAGAGCTCCTAAAAAAAAAGAAAGAAAGAAAAAGATTGTGCTAATGATAATTATTATAGCTGCTTTTTATTAAGTATCTGACACTTGACATGCATATCTCATTTAATCTTTTCCACAGCTTAGGGAAATGGGTCTCATTAGCCCCATTTAGTAGATGGGGAAACCAAGGCCTATGTTGAATAACCCAGTTATTAATTATATTTGCCAAGCACCTGCAATGTTTTTTTTGTATGTTTGTTTATTTTTTTGTTTTTGTTTTTTTGGCAGTAGTGGGGTTTGAACTCAGGGCCTTGCACTTGCTAGGCAGGTGGTCTACCATTGAAATTTTATTTTGCTTTGTTTTTGGGATAGGGTCTCATGTTTTTGCCACGTTAGATACTCCTAACCTATGGCCTCCCAAGTAGCTGAGATAACAGAATTCAAGTAGTACACTGGCCCAGATGGTAAATTTTTTTGTGACAACTTGACTGGACTGAGAACCAGAGAGCTGATGAAATCTTATTCCTAGGACTGCTGATGGAGGTCTTTTGGGAAGAGGTTAGCATTTAAATCAGTGAGTACAGAGGTGCACCCTCACCCTCACCCTCACCCTCACCAGGGTGGGTGGCATCACCTAATCCCTTAGAGGCAGGAATAGAACCAAAATGTAGAGGAAGGTGGATTTTCTCTCTTCTTGAGCAGGGACATCCATCTTTTGCTGCCCATCAGAGCTCCTGTTTCTTGGGCCTTACCCTGGGACTTACACCCTACCTGAATCTGATTCTCAGGTTTCTGGGCTAGTCCTGGGAGGCACATCATAGGCTCCCCTGGTTCTCAGGCCTTTTTTTTTTTCCATACTGGAATTTTGAACTCAGGTCCTATACCTTGAGCCACTCAACCAGCCCTTTTTAGTGATTTTTTTTTTCAAGATAAAGTCTCACAAATTATTTGCCCATGTCTGGCTTCAAACCACGAGCCTCCTGATCTCTGCCTGCTTAGTAGCTAGAATTACAGGCCTGAGCCATCGACCCTGTGCTAGGTTTTTGTTTTTGTTTTTGTTTTTTTTTCACCACTGGGGTTTGAACTCAGGGCCTCATGCTTGCTAGGCAGATGCTCTACCACTTGAGCCACTGTGCCAGCCCGGATCATACTTTAATATACTTATTTCCTTCCAAAGGTTAGTGCTACTTAACCCCATTGTCTCCGCCTTCCCCTGACTACCACACACTCTGGACTCTGCCTTTTGGAAGGGGAAGGGAGCGATCATACCTCCCATAAAGAGAATTCTGAGTCCTTCATATCAGTGGTCAGTGAGAACCTGAGCCCACTGCATGATGGACCTATATATCAGTTATCTCTTTGGTGAAAATAAAATGCCAAGTTTATTACACTGGCCAAGAGCCCAGGATCCTAGGCTGCCATGCACTGCTGTGAACTCTACAGAACACAGCAGGTGGTGAGTGTGCTATCTCTCTCTGGAGCAAAACGGAGCTCTCAGGAGGACACCCACTTGCTGCCCAGCCACTCTTCCCCTTTCCCGAGGAACAGTCCTCAGAATGTCCACTTTACCCCTCACTTCCTGCAACCAGTGTCCAGCCCCAAATCCAGGTATAGTCCCTGAGTGGTTTAAATCAAATAGCTTTTCCATCCCACTGGTGGCACTAATTATTTCGGAGTTGGACATATGACTCAAGCAGGTGCAATCAGAGGAGGTAGGAGAAGTGCTGGCAAAGGTGGGTCACAGCCTTTCTCAATCTCTCCAGCTTCTTCAGGATCTTCTCTTATGTCCATATTCCAATGCTGAGGATCCCATTCCTTCACAATCAGTGCCCACACTTTCATGGTAGACACTCTGCAAGATGTGGAGTCAAGCCAGATACTGGTGGTGTTCACGCCTGTAATCTTAGCTACTTGGGAGGCAGAGATCAGGAGGATCTCAGTTTGAAGCCAGCCCAGGCAAATAGTTCAAGAGACCCTATCTTGAAAATACCCAATACAAAAAAATGAATGGTGGAGTGGCTCAAGTGATAGAGTTCCTGCCTTCCAAGTGTGAGGCTCTGAGTTCAAATCCAGGTACTGCCAAAAAAAGACTGGGGGTTCAATTTGTGTTGTAATTCAGTCGCTTGCAGGATGAGGTTCTAGGTTTGTTTTCTTGGATAAGCACTGAAGCTTGCAGGCCACTTATGACCTGAGCTGAGATTGAAGCTCTGAGCTCATCCTTTCTTTCTGCAGTGCTAGAGATTGAACCCAGGGCCTTGCACATGCCAGGAACTGAACTATATCCCCAGCTCCACATCATTTTCCCCTCCACTTTGTTCACATTTAGGAGCAACCGGCCAATCTTGTTGTGCTCATCCTTGACTAAAATCTGCTAAGCTATCATATAAATGGTCACCCAGAACCTTGCCTAGCTTATTCTATAGTGACATTTTGTGTCTCTCTGCTGCTGTATTACTTTGTAGACTACAGTATGCTCTCTTTGCCTCTGGAAACAGTCATTAGGACTTTTTTTTTTTTTTTGAAGCACTAGGATTTGAACTTAAGGGTTGAGCTCTAAAGGCCTCTCAGGCCCAGCTTGAGTTTTTCTTAAATTCTGTTTTTCAGATAAGGTCTCACTAACTTTTTCCAGACTAGACTCAAACTCATGATCCTTCATAGCCTTCTGAGTGCTAGGATTATGGGCACACACCGCTACACCTGGCTGTGGTTTGAATTTTTAACTCATCTTCACTCCTAATATTGGTTAGTTGTGCCTGATTTTTTTTTCTCTGTGCTCATTCTAATCAGAATTTTGTTTTTATTAATCCTTTTCAAAAAATTAACATCTTGCTTTGTTCTTTTTAATTAATTTCTTCTTTCATCTTTTTTCTTTTATGATTTTAGGGGTTTATTTTGTTTATTTCAGACTTTTTATTTATGTATTTATTTTTAAATCTTCCTCAGCCTTTAACTTTGGGTTTTGGAAGAGGTGAAGAATTATTTATTTACTTTATAAACTAAACTTTATTCTTTTCTTTAATTTTTTTGGTGGCATGGGGGTTTGAACTCAGAACCTTACATTGTTAAGCAGGTATTCTACCACTTGAGCCACTCTGCCAGCCATACTACCTGGGTCTTTTTTTTTTTTTTTCTCTTTTGATGGGACTGAGGTTTAAACTAAGGGGCTCTTGGTTGCTAGGCAGGTGCTCTACCATTTGAGCCACACCTCCAGCCCTCAGACTTTTTTAAATGAACACTTAGCTTATTAATTTTGAAACTTACTTCTTTTCTAGGAGTACTTAAGGCTACACATTTTTCTTTTTATTGGTGGGACTGGGGTTTGAACTCAGGGCTTCACACTTGCAAAGTAGACGCTCCACCACTTGAGCCACATCTCCGGTCCCCAATTTTTCTTTTAATTATAGTTTTAACTGCATCCCACAAATTTTGCTGTGTAATAGTTTCATCACTTTTAGGTTCCAAATACTTTCTAATTTCCATTGTAATTTCCTCTAACCATAACACATAATGGTTAAAGCATTTCTCACTATGTACCCAGGCTGGCATCAGTCTAAGGTCCACCCCCCTCAGCATCCTGAGTGCTGGCATTACACATGTGTGCCATCAAAGCTGGGTAGCATTTAACTTTTTTGGGATGTTGGGTATTGAACTTGGTGCCTTGTGAATGCTAGCCAAGTGCTCTGCCATTGAGTACACCCCACATTTAACTTTTAGTGGTCCGTTTTTATAGACATTCCATGGGTGCTTGAAAACCTCGTATGTTCTGGACTTACTGGATGTTGGGGCCTTTATATGTTCATTAGGTCATGCTTGTTAATCATATTATTAAAATCTTTTGTATCATTGTTGATTCTCTACTGCTTATTTTATCAATCAGAAATGTGTGCTGACATAGCTCATGAGATAGTGAACTTGCTTAATTTTCCTTGTAATTTTGTCAGTTTTAGCTCATATTGAAGGTATGTTAGAATTGTTAAATGTAGCCAACCTCTGGTGACTCACGCCTGTACTATTCAGGAGGCAGAGATCAGGAGGATCACAGTTCAAAGCCAGCATGGGCAAAATAGTTCATGAGACCCTATCTCAAAAAAAAACCATCACAAAAAAGGGCTGGTAGTGTGGCTCAAGGTGTAGGCCCTGAGTTCAAACCCTAGTACCACAAAAAATAAATTGTTAAACGTTACTGAAAATTGAGTATCTTATCAATATACAATTACTTTTTAACTCTAATAATGTTTTTTGCCCTAAATGATATTTTATTTGGTATTAATATGGCTAAACGAGCTTTCTTTTTTGCTGAAAAATGTAAAGCTCTATGAGCGTTTTAAGTTTGGTATCAAAATTGTTACTCAGCCTTGACACCAGAATCAGCCACTTGACTGGCCCAGCTGGAACTAGAACCACCAGGAGTTTTCCTAATGGTAGCAACTCAAATGCTAACAGAGCTCTCCACTTTTTCTTCTCCCTAGCTCCTGAGGGGAAGAAAGGAAAGGAGAGCTGGTATGGATTACTGAGTGCTGGTATCCAAATCTTTCCAAATACTAACCAATTTCACATAAGGCCTCCTGGCTTCACATTTACCCCTTCAAACTCCTGCAGTGGGGCTGTACCGGCACAGGTGCCTTGAGTTGTGAAGGTCATGGGTGTGAGGTAAGCACTTGCCCCTCCATGAGTGGTACCAGTAGAACATCTGCCTACAACATGCTGTCCTTTATTTTCAATCCATGATCATGAAGCAACCATCTAGAAGCGCCAAAGAGCCCAAGAGCCCTGCTGGGGGCCCACAGTGCTCCCTGGCTGGATATCTGCTTCCTGGGCTCTCTGCTTCAGGGCTCCCAGCTTCTCTGCTTCCACCTCATGGTCTGGGGCTTTGCCAGCCTTCGTTGCTCCAAGCCTTTGAACATCTGCTGCCTGCAGTCTGAGTCCCCAGGAAAAAAGAAAGTTGCTTCCAACATGAGGCCACACCACTGGTAAAACCAGTCTAATCTGATCCTTTCACCTCCCTCGAGGTGTCCAAGGAAATGCCACCCTGAGGTGTAGAATGGATTATTCATGGGGTTAATTGCCTTGAAAAAGAGTACAGCAATTGCATGGTGGTGTATGCCTGCAATCCCAGCACTTGGGAGGGTCAAAAATTCAAGGCCAGGGCTGGCAGAGTGACACAATTGGTAGAGTGCCTGCCTAGCAGTCATAAAGCCCAGATTTCAATCTCTAGTACCCTAGGAGCCAGTGGCTCACACCTGTAATCCTAATTACTTGGGAAGCTGAGAGAGGGAGGATCAAAGTTCAAGGCCAGTCTGGGCAAATGGTTTGTGAGCTCCCCTTGTCCAAAATAAGCAGAATAGACTGCTGGAGATATGGCTCAAACAGTAGAATGCCTGCTTTGCAAGGTCAGACCCAGTCCCACCAAAAATAAGTAAATACAGATAAGTAAACTGTAAAATTAGTAATGTTTTGGAGTCACCTTACATTATATTATTGGATTCTTAATTTTGTCTACGTGGAGGATAGAAGGAAACCACCATTTATCAAGCGATCACTGACTGCTGTGAATTTACTAACCACTTCATGTACATGACTTCATCTAGCCCTAAGAATACCCAAAGAGGTAGGAATTATTCAGAAAAAATTAATTATTAACAGCTTACTTCATAAACACTGGGATAAGTAGCTTTTGAAGTGCTTTTAAAGATTAAATAAAATTTAAGAAGATGGCTGAAGATGATCTGAGTGCTTACTCTGCCTCTTCCCACATGTCCCAAGCCATGTAATAAAGTCTTTCTCTTTATTTGGCATACAGGGTGAGTGACTACGCCTGGCATGTGGAATCCCAGGACTTGTTTCAGTCCTATCTGTATACACCAATTCCACTGTTTTGTGGCACACAGCACTCT